CACGAGTACCCATCTTCCACTCCTGACTGCTTTCATGTCATTCAACCAACAAATGCATTCTTTAAGCTGACATCTTTGATGTCAATGAATTCATAATTTCTATTTTAGATCAGGATGGAAAATGATGGCAGAAGGATGTATTTAATAGAGAGCAAATTAATAATATGCTCTGCAAATCATACAGCTATTTCATAGTAGTCTGACCAACAAAAACAAATCCCATTAGTACATGAACCATGCATCTCTTATCCTGTCTCCCTGCCCTCCTGGAAGCTCCGTGTGTAATTTCTAATGGCACTAACTCTGAAAAAACTTATTATTTTGACTGGTGATGTTTTTTTTAAGTCTTGGTGATTACCAAGAGACAACTTAACTCCTGGATTTAATTGTAACCTCAAAATAACAACACATACCATGTAACAGATTTAATAAAAACATACACATAGCGTTAAGTAAATAAGACAAGAATCTAATTCATCATCAATACAGCCAAGGGGGTGTTTGAAAATCAGAGTATCAGCCTTCATGCTCTTACCTGCAGTCACAATCTCTTTGGTCCTTGCTTATGGAAAATGCTTGTGAGACAAAGAGAACAAAAAGAAACGTTTGAAAATATTTGAACAACATTCACTGACATCCAATGAAAGAGTGTTCAAAACCAACTTCCACTGTCTGTGCATTATTAGCAATACCCTAAAACTCATGCATTTAGAAATAAAATCAACATTGTCATTAGACGAATATCTGCAGTCAATTCTACTTCCTAATCGATGTGGTTCCTGTCCTTTTATAAGCCTTATACTCTTTTCATCCTTCCCCCACCTGCCTGACTCCTGTCTCCCCCCTTTACCCACCCACCATTAATGGATTCATTCCCAAAACATTTCATCTTTAAATGAATTTAAAATTGGATGTAGAGATTATAATCTGTGTAGGTAACATCACATTCTATAATGAAAGCAGTGTGTAGTCCACCAAAACCTATTTATCAACACTGTATCAAAAACTAGGTCTTTTTATATCTTCCATGATGTATCATCGGCCATTACACTATAATTTTGACAATGTTTTATGGAATTCCTATCTGGTTTTTAAATTTGGAAATATTACAACAAAACTGGACTGCACATAAAAGTGGGCAAACATAAAAAGCACACCAGTGTTACTGGTCTTTCTTACCAGCACTTTTGAAGAAAAACTCCACAGAAATGACAAACAAGACTAGAATGTGGATACAGAAAGTTCAGCATCTAAGAGGTCTCACTTCTTAACCTGGTACCACCTCAGTTAAAACTGTGAAAAATATGGAGAAATTGTGATATATATGCACAACCAATATAAATCACAAAGTAAAATTGCCTTTTTGATAAAACTACAAATCCCAAATTGTTAAAAGTATACCACAATTATTACTAGGGAAAACTATTCTTGTGAGGTCACTAGAGTTGGTTCTACCGGACAACTCTGTTTTTGGCCCTGTATGGTTTTAGTTGCCACCAAAGACTTCAGAAATGAGGCCAGTAAGTCATGATGATAAAAACATTTTATATCTGACTTTTCTGTCATCATGTTTTACATTCCCAGCATCAGATTCTACACTTCACTCCCTCAAACATCTGGAATTGCTAACATGATCATTGTTAAGTTCCTTTTATATTGTCTGTATATTAAATTGATTCCGTTATGATTGTTCCTCCCTCACCCTAACCCACAACAACTGCAGATTAACTTTACTAGATTTTCTCAAATTTCTTAATTATATTAGCAGGTATTGAGGTGCCACAAACGTGTCTAGTTACGTATCTTTAAGCATTGGGAATACGTAGCCAACTACTGTTCAATTCCTGTTCTATGTAACTAAACATCCCATCCAACGGATTGGCTAACAGTATTGCTGGAATAACCATCAGTATTCCTGGAGAAGCAGAAAAGCCCACGTGATGAGCCAGGCCATGCCTTTCACCTGAATGATAAGGCACTTAATACTTAAGAACCCTAACACAAAAGAATATTTTGGCCTCACTTTACTGATGAGGAAACTGAGCAATAAAGTACTTATAGGATAATTTTGAAGCTATAAAACAAAGTGCATAGAAATAACAGCTGCCACTTTAGTTTCAGAACTCAAAGTTGACTATCATGACCATAGTTTTTGCATATTTACAAAATATAGAGATTACAAGTGAATTGTATTAACTAAATGTGCATTTTAACTGTTAACAGTTAAAATGTTTTGATTTCATTTCATAATTGGCATTCCCAGGGCTATATTAGCAAAGCAAGTTTCTTTGCAGTTCTCGTTAGACCGTTATATGAATTTATATTAATCACGTGTGGAGATTTAGAAATCATATACATTATTCTGTACTTGATGAGACAAGCATTTATATGCCTTTTTGAATTAAAAATTGGTATTTTATAAAGTTCTTAAATTGAAGTAATTACTCATTCTTATTAATCTCAGAGGAAAGAATATGCAAGTGCTGAAAAGACTATATAGAAAAGCTGTCAAAGTTCAGCTGAATGACTTAAAACTGAAGCATTCAAATATGATTGATACCATGATCTTGCAATAAATTGATACAATTGGAAATTGCCTATAATTGACTAAGTTACACCAGTCTATTAGGGAATGAAAAACTACCACAGAAAACTGATTAAACACTACCACAAAGATGCCTCCCACCATATCCAGAAGAATGTAACTGTCACAGGGTAAATACCCTGATCTCCAAAAATAAGTCAAAAAGTAAAAATAAAAACCAAGACCACCTGCAGAGTCAAGCCATAAACGAACTAGATGGAAAAGAATGCATGACTCTTTGATTGCTGATTCAAACGTAACTTGTAAAACATGTAACAACTAAGATTTAGCAATACTTCACAGGCAGTACTGAGTATTCTGTTGTGACGTACTACAAAATTATTTTTTTATTTTGTATTTTTCAGTAGGCTGAATGATTTTGCTTGAAAAAGACTAGCTATCCCCAGATCTTAACATTTAATGGTGTATGTGATTAAAAAAACTAGGTCTTGATTGTTATTTCTTGGGTAGTACTTTCATGACATGCTATTTGGGGTATTTTTAAGAAACCCTGTGAGTATGAGCTTGTGAAAAATTGAAATCACATTAAAACATTCAACATGCAATAAAATCAATGTCAGTCTATCAATATTGAAACTAGGAACACTAAGAGATTCATATCTACATAATTTCTAGTTCACACATGATACCAATTACAGAGCTCTATGCATTGTTAACAGGTATCTTACTAAACACCCCAACACATATTTCCAACATAGGAATTACTTTTGTTACAATCCATGTCAACTCACATTATCTGCATAGTTTATAAAGGTATTTATGTGGTTTATCAATATATATGCACGTGAGATAACACGGAAATGAAACCTCAAGCTGGGAATCACTGGGATGACAGGGGCCTACCAAAATACACTCAATACCCCAGAGTAGTCAGTAAAAAACAACAGTCAAACACACATGAACATTAAGCTACAAATGAACTTATTTTAAAAAAATCAAACATGAAAAATGTCTAATATAACAAGCAGGAGAAACTGTCCTATCAAATACATGGACAGATTTCTGGGTGGGAATGCATTTGTCCAAATGCGACAGCAGACATGAACACGGTCTGGATGAGAGTGTACGGTAGTAACTCAGCATCGGAGTGGTTCCAACTGTTATCTTTGGGATCAGAAAACAGTTGGGACCAGAAAACATTTTCATTAAGATTTAATGTAAAAAACATTAAAAAGTTCTCACTAACAATAATATGACCACACTGTTATTTATAAGTTTGATATGTACACCAACTTACAATTAAAATACAATGGTGGCTTGTAATTTGTAGTACATTGCAAAATACTGGTACAAATGCTGCATTAATCTATCTAATTTTCTTAACCAAAAATTTAAGGAAAAAAATTAAAGTTAAAAAAAAAATCAACTCAAAACACAGAACTAGGACTCCTAGCAATTTTTCTATTGAGTCTGCCCAGAGACTCAGACACCAATCCACCCACGTTCGCGACAGCATTACTTACAATGCAGACAGCCACATAGCTGCAAAATTCAGCAAGATGAAATGCTCAAAAACAGATACATTTGGCACAGGCATACAATGCAGTATTATTCAGCCCTTAAAAATGACTTTTTATTAAACCTGTCCAGAAACTTGGCTAAAAATCCACGATGAGAGAAAAGCTTCTTAAAATAAACCACAAGGGACAAACATTAAACTAACAAAATATAATGCATTATCAAATACCCAAAGGAACTTTTTGTTGCCCTTTATTTGGGAAGTATGTGTTGTTGGAATGTCATTGATATTATCTGAGAAGTATACAAAATGAGCTTTTACATACCATTATGAAAATAAACTAGATGTGTATGTAACCCCATCAGTGCAACCATAAAATGAATGAACACAAAGAACAAAAGGTATGGTAGCAGTATCCCAACATAAAAATTTGATTAAAAAATAGAAACATACCTGTTGTTGTGTAAGATGGCTCACTTCTAAAGAGATTTACTGTTTCCTAAATAATCTATTAAAATTGTTGCAAATGAAATAAAACTGCATTTATTTTCCAACTTGCAAAATTTTAACCAGCAATTGAGAGGAAAAAGTGCGATTATAGACAGGAAATGTTCTGAAAAAGAGAAATGAGACAGAACTCAATGGACTGGGTCAGACTAACAAGCACCCGTACTTTTGAAACATAAATAGAAGAAACACAAAGTCAGCCGACTAAACATGGGGATTTCCACATGATAGAGGTTTTAAGAGAAGTGGTTAACTGCGTAGGTAAGGGTGAAGATTTTGTATATGTAATGCATACCAAACCGCTGCAAAGGTTCACGGAAAAAGAAATAAAATGACAAAATAACTGATGAAAATAAAAGGAAATAGAGACAATAGTGTATGATAATAATGTAAACATGTTTTTAAAGAAAAACACGAACACAAACGGCATAAAACAGAATGATTATATTTCAATACACAACTTGCTTACAAACAAAAAAAAAACAGCACAGTAAAAAACCAAAAAACATGGTATTACATTTGCAATGCATGAGATATGGTTAACATTTTAGTCATAAATGAGCTCTTAAGAATCCAGTTACAAAGACACTAATAATCCACGGGAACTGGAAAAAAGAAAATGATCTCATTCAAACGGCAATTAAGAATTAAGACTATGATGAGTGTGCTGAGCAATGACGGAAGAATGACTTGTCAGAGGCACCACACTGTAAATGCTGTGCTCTATAGTCTAACTCTCACAGACACTGACAGATTGATGAGGACGCTCTACAATTAGGGGTATGCTAGTGTTTGACTAAAAAATAACCAATGTTGGACATCATTAGTCCCCAGCATTTCTGATGAATTAAAATGATTTCAATGAATTAGTTGGAACAAATTTAAAAAAATAAGTTAATACAACTGCACGTTTACTGCACAGGCAACATGTAGTTAAGTATCTGGGCCCCAAAACACTACCTATCAATTTGTTCACCAAGACTACCCAGGTTGTGTACGACACTCCACTGATGATGACAATGTAGGAAACAGCTTCAGTGACAGTGTAAGAACTGTATGTGATGCAGGTGGGTACCTGAAGTATTGGGTAGAACACTTTGAAGTACTTGAGACTGTAATGACTGTGCTGAACACCTAAATCTAATAATATAAAATAGTAATGAATGTAATATAATTGAAAGAATAAAAAAAAAGGAATTCTATAGTGGGTAGTAAAGGGAAAAAAGGAAATCAAAGGCACTTGAGGGGAAACTACTGATTATATACTTAATAACTAACTATATGTCCTCTAAAATCACATGATAACTTCTAGTGACTACATTTCAAATCCACCCTGCGGTGCGTGGAGTCAGACACATGCCCTCAGTGCTCACAGGAGCGCGCGGGGAGCCCCGCCACAGCTTGTCCCAAGGCCTCCTGGGAGAAACGGCTCCCTTGCTCCATCTCCTGGGACTCAGTCCAACAGCGACAATGGAAACAGCCAACATGCCTGCTTACAAGTCTCTCCACGACACCCATCAGGGCACTTTCCCACACGAGCTTTCTCAGTTCCATGTTTCTGATCTGTATGAAGTGTCCATGGCCACGCACATTAGTGGCATCTCCAACACATGATGAAGACTTGTCTTTTGGTTTTGAAGATGGTGGCAGAAACAAGGACATGGGCTCCTGGTCAGTCATCTCCTGCATAGACACAATGGGGGAAATGAAAACAGGTCGGAGTCAGACCTCATCAGATCATCAGTAGTAGGCAATGCAGCAGCTGTTCTATTATAAATAAGTAACATCTGTGTCAGGGATCCCAGAAAAAAATGGTCTCATAACAGGTCCAAGGTAAGAACAAAATGAACCTAGACGACAGAGCCAGAAACTTCTAATGACCAAGCATCCAGAGGATGGCATCTCTACCAGAATGTGGACTGGCCACAGAGCATAGAAGTAACACTGTGTGACTTCTGAAGCCAGGTCAGAAGCCATGCCACCGTCACAGGCGTGCTGTGCTGTCCTTCAGCACTCCAGTCTATGACGCTCCCCCTGGTCATCTAGCTGTGGGGGTTCCCTCCTAGGAGGCCTCCGCTGTGCCCACTCGACCCACGATCCTCTGCAACCCATGCCTGCCATGGGCAAGGCCCAGGTCTCGACTGTAGCCCTCTCTACCACCAGCTCTTCCCAGTTGTTGCCCCACATACTCCAGTACTACCTCAAGTGCTCAGGTATGTAATCAGTGGAAGTAACACAACAATGTTGTAGGCTACTAAATTTCAGGATTATCTGTTACTCAGCAGTAACTAACCTGAACATATCTCAAGACCCACCAGCTGCCACCAAAATTCATTAAGCTTGAAGAAAGCAGAATACAAACTACTGCCTCCTGAAGGGACCTCCCTGCATCAGAGGAACAGCCAGCCAGCCGGCCACCCTCAGTCCTGTCAATGACATGGTAGAGGTGGGCGCAAAGCGCACTGCAGTCATGATTGCTCCGCAGAAAATGGCGGTGCCAATTCTTGGGATTAGTTAACAAGAACAGGACAGCAAAAAATGCAGCTTCTTGGAACTATCAGCTCCTACAAGGAAAAAGAACATTGTATGTTAAGTATACACCATTCTGATGAGACAAGTGAAGCAGTGGGTAACTCACTGAGGTCAGCCAAGACTTGAGTACTTGGCAGTATCAGCAACATTTTTCCTTCTCTTGACAACCCCTTTTATCATACTGCAAAACTACAATTCATTTCTTTCAGAACACTAGCTATGTGGCCAGGTTTGGTCATGAATTAGAAATTAATTTAAGAAAGAAATTTCTCCTACATTCTGCATATAATCTGCATGTATTTTCTTTGGTGAAATTACCCTCTTTCATAATTCATTTACTAATTCTCAGGCATCAGTGAGAATCCAATGGGCCCAAGAACCACACCGAGACGAGTTTTCCCTTTCCTGAGTGTAGCTATATACCTCATTCTAAAACAGTACTTAGTGCTCCAGAACCTTCTTACCTGTGGTTCAGTTAAAATTTAAGCATAAAGCAACTCCACAGAAAGACAGATGTTCCTGTTGTTAGCGGTCCACACATTATCTGCAAATACGTTTATCTCTCATCATGTTTACCTGAGAAGTAAAGTATAGCCAAGGTTAGATACAAATGAGATACCAGGATGCAAAATTTAGATAAATTCATATGGAGAATGCACATAATGAAGTATCAGTCATCTTACTCTCTACTTTTGGAGTACCTTCAGCACAAATGTAGATAACATCAAAATGTTTTGGTGCAAAGCCCAAATGATCGAAACCCATAAAGCCCAACTTGAAATCCTTTTCACACAACCAACTACAGTAAAAGACAGAACAATCTCTTCCCCAAATATTCTCACATTAATTAAAAGTAGCTCCCAGCATGCCCTAAGAGACTGACTCTTATGAGACTAATGAATGAGACTAATGACAGTTAATACCTCACAAAAATTAACCCCTCAGAGAAAATGACTATGGTAACCACCTCTTTGTGTGTCCACCCAAATAGCAGTGTTTGGCACATACCTCCAATACTATCCTCTCCCTTCTTCTCTCCTTGGGTGATCGACTCTCTTTATTATAGTGTACAGCTCGCTGCTGCATTTGTCTCAGCCACGTGTTCTTCTCGATCACTCAAAAACCATTCATAATGGCCGATGGGAATACAAAGCAGGACTCAACGGTCCAATATTCCCAAGATGTTTATAGGCAAAATTGAAGACAGGCACAAGTTGGTTGTATCGTTAAAATTCCTTATTCGTTAAATGTTCCATTTGAAATGCCTTTTCAATTTTAAATGCATAAAGTACAAGCAGTCCTCCTTTTCCAATTTCTCCATGCATTTAAATTTTGCCATAATCCTCCAGACAACTTTCTTTCGTAACTTGTTACAGTCATTGTAGATTGTCGTGTAGCAATATACGTATATATGGATTAAACAATGCCTCACTATATAACTAGTACATGTACAGAAACTTAAGAATGCCAAAACAATCACCATTATAGTCACAATGATGATGAACAATCATTACCTTAAGTCTTTAATCTTAACAGGACAATCTCATTCCCCAGTGAGCATAACTAGAGGCACACGATCATACCTCTGTAAACACACAATTACTCAGTCTTTGTTCAAAAATGACCATTTTAAGTATTGACTTAAACATTTCCACTTAAGAATGTTTTATCAAGTGTTTAAGCTACACTTATGACATATAAGATACCATCATTACAATCTTTTGGTGATGTGTATTTCAGTGGCCAATGTTATACTTGATCTGTAACTTACTTTCTTCTTCGTAAATCTGGGAGTTGGGATAGATAAAAATCACAGCAGTAACCTACATCATTTCTGAAATTTTACACATTCAATTTTGATTGTCATTACCAAAAAGATGTTATGTATATACTTTGATCAATAATGGATAGGACCACCTATCTGAAGAAAGTTTCGTACTTTTTAGAATTTACACCATAGGTAACTGACAACATTTTTGGCATTTGTCACATAACATTCAAATATACCAATTCACTAGAAACCTTTAAAATATCTCAAAGAATTAAAAAAATATTCATAACCAGAGAAATTCTCATACAGATGCATATATGAAAACAGATTAAGATATGAAGCTGTTTATACTTATATAAAAATTAACATGTATTTAAATGTAACCTGAAGCAGTCTAATACTAAGAATACCATTTCCATAATTATCAGGAAATTAAAATCAGTAAAGTAATAAATGTGAAAATAAACATTATCGTATCTATATTCATAAAACTAATTTTACATATGCATGTGCATTACTACATATGACTATGTGGATATGTCAATGTGCAGATTTATCTACCATAGCAAAAGTACAATTATTTCAGCAATGTGACCATCTTCCATCTCTGAATGTATCACTGTATACATGTGAACATGACCAAGTGACAATTCCCTTCTCAAGTCTTTTTCTTCCTACTGAAGTACATCCCAGGTGTATTTTCTGTTACAGGTGTACATTCTAATCTTCTCTTATAAATCAGAACCTAACAGGAAGATAAAAGGTTGATCTGTCAACCTCTCTCCCCGAAACCTCACTCAACAAACATCAGAATGTTTATAGAGCCCTAGGAGGCAGACTTTTTACCAATTACCTGTCACATTGCTGAAATATTACAAAAGCCAACTATAATTTGCCATGAAGTATTTACAAAATTTTGCGAAACTCCCAGCATCTAGAAAAACTAGATGTTTAAATTGATATTATATACCTGTTATTTACAAAGTTGTCTTGAATGAGGTCATGCAGCCCAAGTAAATACAAAATTGTATAATTCAAAGGGAACAGAAGTTCTAATAAAAACATTTCCTATGATTAAAATACATAATGCCCTATTAGCAATACAAATACACAATTATGATGTAGCCTTTTAACATGTAATAATACAAGCACTGAACAATGGCTTAATGTAAACTTTTCTGTACAGTGAGAAGTCTGAAGTGAAGGTACACTCCCTCTTACCCTTCCTTCCCCTACAAACAACAAGTCACAGATATGTACACGCTCTAGAAACCCACCATTCTAGCCACTTAGAGGTCAACCCATTTCCAACAAATCAGCATGAATTTTACAATGAATTATTTACATAAGTATACCTGGAGAGAAACTATAGATGAGACTAGATGTCAAAAAGTAAAAAACGTGTATCTGCCCGTTATTTACAAATTGTCTTGAATATTGTCATGCAGCCAAGGGAACACATACAGAACTGTGTATAGTTCCAAGAGGTAGTATAAAATCCGCTTAATGAAGTCATTAATATCTTGAATGTTAAAATAAAGAGAAAAGCACACAGAAAGTGGAATAGGCAGAGTACAAAGGACTTTTAGGGCAATGAAAATACTGTGTTCACCATAATAATGGATGTATGTCATAACCTCATGGAATGTACAACACCAAGACTGAACCTTTAATGTAAATGATGGACTTTGGGTGATTATGGTGTTTCAATGTAGGTGTATCAACTGTCACAAATGTGCCCCTCTGGTGGGGGTATTAACAGTAGGCATCATTCCCGAATTTCGGGTTGATGGCAAGGAGGGTTATGCATGTGTGTGGGGAAGGGAAGTCTTTGTGCCTTCCCCTCAATATTGCTGTGAATTTAAAACTGCTTTTCAAAAGTATTCATAAAAATATTAAGAGAAACATATCAGGAAGCTTGGTACATCCAAAAACACTAAATATATCCTCATGGTATTCCAAAATAACAATTCATAATTGTCAAAATGTTCTTCGAGAACGGGGCAAATGCATTATACCTTGTCCATTTCTCCTCTTAACCAAATTAATATATAAATTTTTCAAAGCTCCAAGAGCCTCTTTCTCAATGGTTAATTTCTTTGCCACGGTATTTTTAAAAAACAATGGTAGTAACAAATTTACAGTAAAATATTTACAGGATTATACTTTATGAGACTCTCAGTACATCCAGATATTTCACTTGTCCATTATTTACAAAGTTGTCTTGGTTATTGCTGTGTAACGAATGAACACAGAACCACGTATTTTAGAGAATCTGTAAATGTTAAATCAAATTTCACTGTGAACCTCAGAGTATCTGGGAAAAGAAAATATAACTACCGCACATGTCCCTGAAATAGAGGTATTTTTATATAAAATGGATAATTTATATAAAATCAATTTAATGATTACTATCTAATTTTTCTTCTAAATAAAAACATGAGGTAAAAATACTTTCAAAGCTTTGTATCCCACATGAGTGAAATCATACAGATCTCAGCTTTTTCTGACAACTTACTTTGCTTAGCATGATATTCTCGAGGTTCATTCTTGTTGTAGGCAAGGGGTTGTTGGGGGCTAGTAAAGGGTCAAGGAGACCCAACACATTGTAACAGGTTGATCTGCCTTTGGGTGATGGGCACACAGAAATATTCAGATGATACATCGTAGAAATGCACACTTGAAACATATTATGTTGCTAACCAGTCACCATAATAAATTTAGTTAAAAATACTTTCAATGCTTACTCTATCTCCTCACTAACAAACAGTTTTTAAGTAATTTGTCTGTAGCAATGCCAGCAATCCAATGAAGGTTACACAAAAGGGAAAGATACCCTGGGAAAAATTTCTACCCTCTAGCATCCTGTCTCTTATCAAGATCTCACTAAGCCCAACTGTCCTAAAGCAATTGTTATAATAATCACAGGTGTTTTAACAAATCAAAAGAGCCACCTAGATCATTTTTTAAGTAATTTGCAATTGTATTTCAACCTTATAGTTTAACATGCCATGACTGTAAGATATGCGTGTGCAGGAAAGTAGGTATCATGGAAAAAGAACCGTATGTTAAGAGATCAGAAAACATCCACTATCCACTACCCTTGTCCATAACCATTAATCCACTCAAATGTAGACAAAAAACTCTATAAAGTTTCTGATAATTCAAACTGTACCAGGAGATGAACAAGTGTTTTAAAGATGAATATATAGCACAGTCTAAAGATCGCAGCAGACCAGATTGGTGTGCCATGTCACCAGAGAAAACCAGCACGTGCTCTAATTTCAGATGAAACATATTTTACAATGACAGAAAATTCTGCATATCTACAAAGTTATGTGGTATAGAAACAAAGATCTGATCAGATCAGTCACCCCTTTATAATATTCAACATCAAAATATTTACTCTCTGTGTGTGTGCGTGTGCGTGTGTGCGCGTCTATTACGCGTGGAGAGAGGGCACTTTTATACACCTAGGAAGTCCCCATGCTCTAAGAAGCTTGTCTACTATACATACAGCAGTCGAAAACTTCCCTGCTCGGTCTAAACAGTTAACATTCGAAAATCAGATAGGAAGAAAATGTATACACGTTTACACAGCTTAAAATATAAATGGCAATGATTTCTACACTTTAACAAAGAATGTCTAAGGGAAATGAACACAAGAACACAAAAACTTACAAATCCTCAAAATCAAGCCTAACTCATGAAGAAGCACACTCCATAGACCAAATGTTGACTCTACATTCAACAGTTCAGTGAACACACACTTCTAAAATTGATAGAAGTTCTATGTCCCAAACTGTTCTGGAAAACATTCAGCCTCTATATACAAAACAAACAAAAAATAATACAATCACCTTTAACCAAATACATCCCAAATAGACACACTATAGCAATTCAATTTGCAAAATAGGTTTTTCACTTGATTAGCCTGGTAGTCACAAAATATACATCTATCAACAAATTCTATGCAGATGTTGTAAAACAAAACATTTGTCCACTATGTACTTATCTAGCAGCCTCACAGTATCTTCCAGTAAGTCTCTATCCTGACTTTTAATGAGCAGTTCTATACACTCATATACATGTATGTACACGTATGTGTATACATGTATACACATACAAATATGTAAACAATCCTTATATTTGAAGAACTAAAAGTTTAAAGCAAAAACTTACACATTCTAACTATTTTATATACAGTGATCTAAAAAATACCCCTTCAGCTGCCCAATTATTTATTCAGAGATAATATGACAACCAATAGGGAAAGTTTGCACTTTATGTATAATAAATATACCTATAAAACATGCAAATATAGTAGCTCCTATGCTTAAAAAACATAATACTATGTCTACTATATACATATAATACAAAAACATTCTTTTGTCAGCCCACATTAAATGAACTTGGGTTTGATATATACCATTGCTAATGTCCCCGTAAAACATATAAAACACCTATACTACTAGAAAAAAGTACTTGAAAACAAGAAAAACTCACTAATATCACTAAAAGTCAAGTTGCGTTGGCAAACGAAACCTCTTCCAGTGAGGTCTGCTTTATCACACGTAGAGATGACTCCAAGCTATGCCAACAACTGTGTTCTTTCTGTACATACTTAGGAAACCATGAACAAAGGCAAACCTACAGCTGCCATACTTCAGGGGTTGTGAGTTGTGCCATAAAGCAGTGGCCTACACATTGTCTTCACCGCAACTTGAAAACAGAGCCTAATGATACAAAGAACATACAAGAGAGTCTACATCTAACATCTTTGGCAAACAAAAAAGATTCTATCCTAGTAAGTTGATACATATTTATAGTACATTTACAGTAATATATATATACACATGAAGCAAATTGCTTATCAAAACAAAATTATTTAACATTCATAACACTGTTTATAACAAAATATATAGCAGTATGTAGCAGAAATAAATTAATGTTGAAAATCTACCTACTTAACATTAGAACACTTATAAAACTTATGTGGGTTCCCAACATCTGAGCTTGGAGTAAAGCCCCAAATGTAAGCCACCTCCATGCTTGATTAAGATGGTGTAACAGCACTTGAAGAGTCATCATAAAGCCTACAGAACTCTGCACTTGCTATCAAGCATAGAGAGACTGTTCCCTCACACCACACATGTTTTAACAGAGACACCATTTACACAGTAACATCTACAGCCCCGCAGAGCAGCCTGAATACCATGTCCACATGACAAGCTGTATACGGAAAACCCCCTTCCCCAACGTCCCACAGCAATAAGCTATTCAAATGATTTTAAATGCACATTATTCAGAGGTATTCTGACAGTTCTAGTTTTATAATCATGTATTAAAATATTTCTGCTATATATTTTACCAAGCTTTGTTAATTGTATCAGGAAAAGTTAGAAAACAATTGTATTTGGTTTTTTCATGCACAGTATTCTCAATATGCACACAATACTAGTGCCTTACTTTTTTCCTGATTAACATTTTAAGCACTCCATTCCTTTTACATCCCTGAGCACACAATGAATGCAGAATTGTGTTATCTTTACAAACGTCCTCAGAATTCTTGTCCAAAATATTTTCCAGAAGACAATTTTATCAAACATGTTATTAGAAACTTCCTAGGAAACCAGCTCTAATATCACAACCACCGTTTAAAATGTTATCTAAAATAACAATTTGTTTATAAATGTAGGCCTCTGTGCTTGAGTATTATATTCCAAGAACGTTTTAAGTAAACAAAATAAAATACAATGAAACCATCACATGTTGAACTTCATTCTCTTCATCTCCTAACAACAATGAACAGTTCATATACATTCATTATGCAGTTTTATATTTACATTTTAATACCATCACCCACACACAATCTTTGTGTCCAATGAAGTAATTAGTGGAATTAGATTTTGGGCTGTGTTAAAAATGCTTGGGGAGTTAAAAAAAACTGTATCACACATGCATAGGAAAAGTCCCAAATGCATGGCTTTTCATGGTAAACCTTATGAAGCTGAGTTGATAATCCATGACCAAAAAAAAAAAAATCCTTTTTATCCAAATCCAAAGATGTCCAATGAAATGTAAACATTTGAAAGACAGGGTGAAGTTCAAAACAGTATAAATCTACATTTATTTTGTCTTTGTTTTTGTAGCTGGTAAAGCTTCTAGATCAACTCAAATGTGCCGTCCTTTTCATTTTTTTCCCCAGATTCCTGCAAGGTTGGCTTATGGCTACTTGATACTGTCTGTAAAAGCCCAATACTACAAGTTGTCTGCTTAAAATAAATTTCAGTTCAATCCTCGCCCTTCACACACTCGCCTTTTGGGGAGCAACACACAATGAGAGAGGCTGTCCTGATGCTGTTGGGCCAGGCACAGATACAGATCAGAGGCAGGGAGTTGCTCTTGATCTGGCCAAAGACCCCGTAAGGCAGCCTGAGGTTGAGAATCCCACAGCTGTCCAAACAGTTCGGGACACAACAGTTCAGGCTTCTCCAGAACTTGACAAAGAATTGGTTACCAATGCAGGTACAGTCCCTCGGGGCTGTGATCTCCTGCTCATCTACGTTCATGAAAAAGAGCTTTTTGGAGAATCTGTACATCATCCTGGGTCGCAGTCACACTGGTTTCTTGCTGTACACACTTCAGGAGATTCTTACAGACCAGAAGGTAACAGTGAAGGAGAATCACAGATTTGAAGAATCCCAACGTTCAGAGACTGTGAGTGGAACATCTCCCGTTGACAGTGGTAAAAGATGCTCTAAACATTACCAGTTTACATAATCTTTGTTCTCTTCTCCGATTATTGCTTATTTCTAACACTGTTGAAACACGATGTGGTTCTTCATCTGTCCCAAAAACTTCTCTGGCACATGAAATAGAGAATCTGGAGACAGAAGTAAGGCGACTGGTTGGAAATTTGAATACAGTTTAAAGATGTTGAAACTCTCAAGTAGGAGGGTAGCTCTACCCAATGGAGTCTGAACAGCATCCTCCATGCAATCGACACTTGAGGTTTCAGGGTCAAACCCCTGTCCGTCTTTCTTAGGCTCCATCTATGTCCACCGATGACAACCACCTCCTCACCTCCTAGCTGGCATGTCCTTTTTACATTTCTATAAAAGTCATACTCAAATATATCGTACAATGATTTTGAAATATTTGTAGAAGACATTGAGATATTTCACATGTGGACATGATTTTGTCATAAACTGTTCAAAGTCTTTTCTTTTCCAAGGAGTTGTATAAGTTGCTTATGTACATTACAAAAAGCAAAGAAAAATAACCAATGTAGTATTTTACCAACCTATATAATGATGGATGCATTTTCACCTTTTCTATGTAGCCAAGTACTCTTACCCAGATGTACAAGAGGTTGCTTAAAATGAAAACATGCTTGTTTTGTTAAAACATGTTGTTTTATCCTCCAGGGAGCTAGACTGAACAGATGGATTCATATAATAAAATAGACAACTTTAAGGGACACCTCTTTCCGCCAAAGCCCCAAACTGAAATTTGGCACTGTTGTGGAAATAATGGAATGGAATAAACAAGTTGAATTTAAGATAGCATCACCCAATTCTCTGCACTCTGCACTGTGGCACAATGAAATGCCCTTTCTCTTGACTCAAACCTTTATAAAGAATATGAAAAATAATGGTCTAACCTGGAAGCCAAATTTTGCCTTGACTGTGTAAGTCTCATTTCTTATACCTTTTGTTCATTTATAAATGAATTCTATGAATAACTTATAACAATGTACCACTATAGCAAAATTACTCATTATCCATCAAATCCATACTAGATTCCAGCTCAGCCTTAGACACAGAAGAGTAATAATGACATCAAGGCCAATGATAAACCATTAATTTCTTTTCTCCCAATCAAAGAATATCAGAAAAGTCAGCCTATGCCTTCTTGTATCCATTTTCCCAATCTCAGAAAAGGTATTACTCAGTAATTGAGGGTTTTTATGAAACCGTCTGCACTGTGATTTGAGTAATTTGAGGGATGGATTTTCGTATCATTATTCTGACATCACTTAAGACTGTCATTCACTCAGTAAACACCCTGTCCATCTGAAGGTGAAATCTGTGGCATCCAGTCACGCTCACCAGAGTTACACATGATGCAAAAAAGTATTAGGAAAATATGACACACATTTCCTGCCATCCTATAAAAAGTAAGAAAACCAGTATCATTACAGTCACTTGTTCTCATAGAAATGATAAAGCATGGTTTTTTAACAATCCTGTGATTTCTCCTTGTCTTCACACTCCTTGTCTAGCCACAGAAAAGAAGTCTCCTTATTTCAGGTTTGGGTCCCTTCTTAAGTCACAGTTTTTTAAAATCCTCCATGATTTCTCTTTTTATTCAGTCCAAACCATAGAGAGGTCTCCATCTCAAATTAGAGTTCCTTCTTGAGTTATAATGTTTTAAAATCCTCCATGATTTCTCATTTTATTCAGTCGATCCCTCAGAAAAAGAAGTCTCCTAGTTTCAAGAGTTCCTTCTAAGTCACAATTTTTAAAACTCCGTAATTTTTCCTTTCAGTCCAAGCCGCAGAAAAAAAGTCTCTCTCTTTCATGTCTGGGCTCCTGCTTCGTGTGCTGTCCCCTGGAGGGGTGACTCTGACTTGCATGTACATTCGTCAGCACTTCCAAGTGTGGAGAAACCCCAGCTGAGGAGGCCGACTTTCAAAGTTCGTAAGTAAAGCAGACTGTCCACTGTTAACACCATTCCCACAGAGAAGCGTATTTACACAAACAGTACTCAATTTCAATATAAAATATAGTTAGCAGGGTATTTACAGCCAAGCTATAACATACATTTTGAAATTTCCCCAGTGAAGAGTATCACCCAGAAAAGTTCATTGGTGTTGCCAGTTTATGGCCCATGTAAAATGATCCAGAAGTGGATGGTTAAAACAAAATGCCTAAATGCCAAGTAAAGTTATATATGGTTCAGGACCAACACCAACTAGATACAATGCCACCCCTAAAGCCTCAGCAATAGGCAGAAATTGCCATGTCTAAGAAATCAGCACACTAGTGAGATCACCTCTGTTTTTTAAAGTGCTTAAAAATCTGATTTTCTGGAAATTTCTGTGTATTGGTCATTTTTATACAAATTGAACCAGGTGAAAATTTGGGTAGTAGTTGATTATTAGAAAAATTATAAAAAACTATCTCGCTTTCTCAACAAAGGTACATCATATAAATGAATACTGGCAATTTGTTCTGGTAAGACATATGGATTCAGATTGTCCTAATTCTGAAGTGTGTCCGCCCATGCATTTGATTCCAGGGGCTATTGTCATTCGTTGCCAGTTTGTTGTACTACAAGAAAAAAATACAGCATTTTCCACTCACTTTGTAAGACAACCAATTTTCTTTCAAAACTGCCTGTTCTTGTTCATTTTAAATGTCCTGTAATGAACCCGCAGCCATATAAATTTAGCGTTCATACAACAGCACTTTCAGAAAATGAAAACCCAGATGTTCTCTATGTGCCTCAACCAAGAGCATATCAATTTCTCAGACCCAGGAAACTGAAAACTGAACAACCCGCCAGGTGACTCTCACATGCACTGGAGTTGGAGAAAAGTTTGACTTCCTCTCAGCTGCCTACACTTGTAAACCACAGGACCACGCCAACAACCACAGCAGGAGGAGCCCTTCCACCCACAGAAGACCCCAGGATGTCAATGCAGTGATCTCAGGAAAAGGACATGGAGCCTCACAGGACAAAGCTGGTGGGAGGCAGGCACGCTGAATTCAACCACACTGGGGTGGGTGGATGGTGTCTCTGAGTCCTAATCTCCACAAAGTAAGCAATCAAGGGACACGTCTCCTCTTGCTCTTGGACAACAAAAAGACATCAAAAAATCCCTTTAAAGCCATCTTTTCCCTTCCTATCTTTCCTTCTCCCACCACTGCATTCACCACCACAGTGCCAACGCAGTCCTTCCGTTATTGTCACCACTAGCTGCGCTGGACCTGCTGTCATCAGGTTCAAGAATGATGAGTTTGATCATATTAGCCCTCCGTCCTCCAAGAAACAAAAAGCTGACCATCTTCCAGGGATTCAAATGTGAAGGGACTTCCTTTAAGTCACCTGCCTGCCCCCATCGGCATGGGGCCCACCCAGCAGCTTACCAGTGTCCTTCTCTCCACAGTAAGTGACCACTCTAGGTTGTACCAAACAGCCAAGGTCGAATGACTCTAAGACAACTCTATACCTCAACAGACGCCTAAAATTGAGTCCTTTCCTCTCAGCTCCTTCTCAGGTAGTAAAAGGTGACCTCCTGCTCTCATTCCTTCAGCCTATTCCTGCTGCTCAGAATCAGCAACACTGAGGGAAACCAAACAAATCTCTGAGGTAGTAAGTATATAAACATTTCTGGCAGGGAAATAGGGACTAACTAAGGTAAAGAACTGTGAAAACACTAACTTACTTTAAAAAGAATGTAATTCATTGGAACCCCAACAGCTCTTCACTAGAAGCTGTTCACTCATCACAGCATAAACACCCACACCATATTTACACTTAGTTGCTCACACACACACACACACACACACACACACACACACTAACAAATTAAGGTGACTATTTAAGGATAAGGTCTTAGTACATTCAACTGTCCATGGTAACATTTTTATACAGGTTTTCTAAACACCTGTTTAATTATTATTCAACCCCCTCACAATGGCTACAATAAGCAAAGCATAAACATCTAATCAAAGAACGTCAATCTCAGATAATACAAGATCCATTACTCCAGCAAAGAAAGACAGATAGTGAAGAATGATGTTGGGAGCACAGACCCACTTCCAAAAAGGCAAAACCCTTCCTTGCTCTAAGGCTCAGATCCACCAAATGCCAATTATATCCCCTTCAATCAGACCCCAAAATTGTAACTCTTCAACTGTGTCCTGCCAAAATATAGGTGGCAACTCACTAAAAAAGAATTAAAGATGACTTATATTTTTAAAGTGTTATCTTAATAGCCAACAAAGCAATGTCTTGACAAGAAACTGGCACTTTCTCACTCATGTGGTAAACTGGAGCCCCTCCTGGGTTGGGGACATGTTCTTAGTCAATTCTGGTACAAGGCTGAAACTGAATCATGATGTATGAAGAAATTAAAAACCACAGTATCTCCCAAGTCCATCCTCTCTTAAAGTTATCACTTGAAATGCACAATGAAAGACAAAGGTGGGCTGCACCAATGTCACAAGCACTAAAGATACTATATACAAAAAAAGAAACCAGAGCAGTGGATCAGAACCCACCTTCCTCAACTTCACTGGGTAAACCTGCACCTCCATTCTCCATGCACAATACTGATGGGGGAAACCTTTGGAGAAAAAAAACAGCCTGCGAGCATGTGTTAGAACAGGTGTGTCCCACGTCCTTTGACGGACACTTGGGCAGGACTTCAGAGTACTCAGATTGAGCTTCACGCGGTCATGCTCAGAAAACACAGCTCATCATAAGTCGAGCCAAGGTCTTCCCAACAGGAGCACACCTCGATCAAAACACTACTACCTGCAGACTGCACAGCTGTATTAATGCAAAGGCCCCCGCTGAGGAGAAGGAGGATTTATCATCTCTGGAAGGGATGTCATTCAACTGACACATAATTTAGGTGAAAATCTGGGGGGAAACTAACACAATAACCCAGCAATCTGAAAGAACAACACTGAGATCTTTGGAGTCTTAAAACAAAATGTAATACCTTAGATTCCACTTCCCCAAGCAAATGGTCTTACCACTTGAAAACTGGAATATGCATATGACAACAGATGGATGGAACACCAAGAATTAACAGTATTGACAACTTCCTATTTTCTGATCCAATTTCAGAACCTAAACTACATTGAAAACATCAATCAAAACACCCCAACATGGGAAAAATCAGTACCAAGAATCAATGAGAACAGTCAGACAAAACGAAGGTAGATGAAACAGGTGAAGCCAAGTCCAATGACCTGTCTGCAAACACTGCAATTGGGAGGACTGTGAAGGCAGTCTAAGCTGCGGTCTAATAACTCTGATATAAGAAACCAAAGCACTATGGTAATACCATCTAATTTTATCATTGGAAAAACAGCACACAAACTACTTTTTGACACATTTCATAACAGACTGAAAAGCACTCTTATCAGGAATCATACCTTTTTACCACCACAGGACAAGTGATCATGTCTGTACAAGTATGTTCTAGATAATATGGGAACAGACAACCTAATGAATTCTACTCCATCTAGGTCATTTTGTTACTCTCTTCCACTACAAATCTAGTACAATGTCATCTACAACCTAAAACATCCAGTTGAGCTATCAACGGCTTTCTTGCAGCTTGGCCACCTCACCTGCATTTTTAAGATTAACCCTGCCTACGAAAGGAAAGAATTCACCCGGCCAAGTCTTCCTGTCCAACCATTCCTCAATCACAGGTGAGTTGAGGGCATGTTGTGTTAGCCACATAGGTTCCAGAATTGCAAGACACTGCTGCCATACAAGGAGCCAGCAAGCCAGTTGTGGCCCTGCCCCAAGGATACTAGGGCCCCCGGCACATGTGAGTAAAAGAAAAGAGTCACTTAGGGTTTCTTCATCTACCATTTGAGAAAGGAAATGAAGCCACAGATGTCCCCTACACAGGCTGCCTGCGTACTTTTGGCAGAGATGCACTTGCTGAAACCATTCACCAACACTCACATCCAGAGCTGATATCCTTTGGGCTACATTTCAAATACTGCTCTTCTCCTGGTCTTTCCACTAAAGCCCTCTCACCCCTGTGACCTCACAGTTATTTCTGATTTCTACTTTGACCAATAATGGCTAAGATGGGTCCCCTACAAATGCACTGTCTAGGAATATCTATGGCTGACTCCTTTCTGGGGTAGGAGTATGGAGCTGAAAATCGGATAGGCCTAGATTATATAATCACTCCATATTCCACTATAAGGAGTGACTGTAAAGTACTTAAAGAGTTATTACTGTAACACTGAATAAATTAGTATCTCCATAAATTCAACTGAAACATAAATGCTATGAAACAAATACAGCCATTTCTTAAACATTTGCTATGTCATTGCCCTATACCCAGTGACCTAGCACAGCGATCCTCAACTGTTTTAATCTCAGGGCTCACCAACTAATTATTGAAATTCTAATGCAAACCAAAAATATGTATTTTGGCCAATCTGACAAAAAAGGTGTAATTCTGATCCATTCACACCAGACAGCAAATTACTGTGTTGGATGTTTTCAGTTTTGAAATTGGACAATCTTTAAGGTAAAAGAGGTCAATGCCCCTAAGTAGTTTGGTTCTGTGTGTTTTAAAAACTCTTCAGGAACCAACAGTTGAAAATCGCTGTTCTAGGGGATAGACAACTGAAGAGAGGCAAAAACAAAATAAATGGTCCTCAAACACAGCGTCGGAGTCCATGTGAAGGCGTTTTCTGCACTCCTTGTGTTTCTGCCCTATGAGGTCCGCTCCTACCTGGACATCAGACACCTACAACTCTGGCACTTGGTGTTGAATCCAAGAGATGGTAGGGGCCTCCTTTCCATGTGTCCTGGCTTGGGTCCCACTACAGATCTGTGCCTTCTGGGATCCAAGGATGAGCTTCCTTTGTTGCTCTCAACATCATAAAATATATACAGAAGAAAAAAGAATTAGCTCAAAATGTCTTTGAAAATTTTTTAAAATGATGTTTGGAGGAACTGGCATGTGTACTAGTGTCTACACCTGCCATGTAGAGTATGCGAAGTTTTAACATTTGACACCGTATTCTCTCGAATAGTGTTCTCTAAAAAGTCTAGTGAGGCACGTTGACTGATTTCAGTGACATTTTAAAGCTCACAATTTGAAATCATTATGTTCAGACAAGGTCCTTTCTCATCATAAATCTAGCCAAGGCCTCTGTAACACACACCTTTCTTTGTAAGATTACTTTACCTGGAGTGGTTTTCGTTTCTGTCCTAAATGCAGTTAACATGGTTTTCAGCCTTGATGCTCGGTAGAATCCATACTGACATGTCAGAAAATTCATTGCTCAAACTCCCGCTGCTTTTCAGTCATCAACTATGTGGGCAAAGAGGCACTGTGTAAGACTGAAAGTTTTAATACCAATCAGCCACGACAGTGTGCTTTCCTTTATTTACGTAATACAATTCAAGCATGGGGATCATTTAGCTTTCTTTTATCCTAATCTAATGATACACTCATGGTTTTTTAGAGAGTGGAAAGGAGAGAAAGAAGAATGGATGGCGACATCCACATGAGAGATCGGTTCACTCTGATTTCTGTCACAACCGTGGTCTAAACACTCAACCCAGGCATGTGCCCTGACTGGGAATTGAACACATGACCTTTCTGGTCGGGAAGATGACACTCCAACCAACTGAGCCACACTGGCTAGCGCTGAGTATTACTTATATATGGCCAGGTACATGGGAAGTAAAGTGCAAAATAAGACAGAATCTGGCAAAAAAAATTATCAAATAGCTAATATGTACCTGAATATTTCATGATATAGTAGCAACTATAACCAACTATTTCTTGAAATCAATGAGTTTTAATTAAAATCAATACAATGTTTTTTTTCTGACCTTTGAAACAGTTATTACTGTAGTTCTAGGCAAGTGTTACCATTAACACAATTTCCTAAATGACCTGTATTATTCTACTACACAAGACCTACAACAATCAAAACATCATTTAGCTTAGTTTACAAACACCAAAGACATCTGACTTCATTTGTGTGTGCAATCTAAAGTTGAACTCAGAAGCGGCACAAAATGGTGGTTGCCAGCAGTGGGAGTAGTGGGGAAATGTTTGCCAAAGGGTGCACACTTTAGATTATAAAATAGGTTTGAGGGATCGAACGGACATCGTGGTTATGATAGTTAAGGTTGAACCGTATAATAGTTGACCCTTCAACCATATAAAGCTTGGCAGCCTTGACTCTTTTGCAACAGTTGAAAGCCACAATTAACTGACTCCCCCAAAACTGAACTACAATCATCCCTGAGTATCCAAAAGAAATTGGTTGCAATTCCCCCATGGGTGCCAGAATCCAATGCATCCAATTGTCCTCCACATCTGCAAACTCCCAACTGCAGAGAAAATATTGCTTTCAATCTGAGGCTGACTTGAGTCTGAAGATGTGAACCCCATGACCCAGAGGGCTGACTATGTTTACTGAAAACAGTGCACACACAAAGTGGGTCTGCACAGATTCTGCTCATTATGCTCAAGGTCAGGCCCACCTGATATTGGTTCCAACAGAACCTTGTGAATGTTTCCACCACCAAAAAAGGTAACTATGTAAACTGGTCAGTACACTTATCTTATTCTGTTTAACTTTTCACATCATATACATATATCAAATGTTGTACGTATGGACTTCTAAAAATTACTATTGTATTTATCAATTATATATCTAGGAGACTAGAAAAAAATTACAGGACTTCCAAAATTGGGAATAATTACACAACTAAGAACCAACAAGATTAAAAATGCAGGAAACTGCCCTGGCTGGTGAAGCTCAGTGGACTGAGTGCTGGCCTGCAAACCAAAGAGTTGCGGGCCTGGTCAGGGTCCCAGTAGAAGGCATATGCATATGAGAGGCAACCATACATTGATAATGCCCTCTATCCTTGCCTTTCCCTCCCAAAATAAATAAAATTTATAAAAAGGCCTGGAAACTACATCACTTTTGATATGCTTTTTATAACAAAGCCAGTTTATTAAACACAGAACACCAAAAATAAAAACAAAGGTTTAAGGGAGCCTAACATTTAAATTCCAGAGTTCTCTCTAAAACTGTTCTGTAAACCATACTGAAAACTCATTGTTATACCAAGTGTATAACAAAGTTACAGTTAATGTGACCAGGAAACTGGGAGGCCACTGCCCAACTGTGTTTAAAACATGACTCTGACTGGGCAGCTCAGTTGGTTTGAGTGTTGTCGCCGTGCACCGAAGGTTGTGGATATCCCTGATCGGGGTGTGTATGAAGGCAACTGATCAATGTCTCTCACATCACTGTTTCTTTTTCTGCTCTCCCCTTTCCTCTCTGTAATTATCAGTAAACATATGCTCAGGTGAGGATAAAAAAAAAAAACATGCACTCTTTTGAATGCATGACAATTAGAGCCTCCAAGCGTTGACTGCTGCATTGGAATGCCCCCACTGGAATGCTGTGGAGGCGTAGATCTAGCAATCGGTAATGAAAGAGCCAAAGGCTTCCATAGGAACAGCAGCATCAGGTTGCCTTTTAGAGTGTTCCATAAGCAATACCCTCACAAATTTAAAGAACAGTCTAAGCAGAACTTCACCCATCAAGACAGTCATTCAAATTAAGCACCTTCCAGAATCCAGAGTTCTTATCACTCCCATTAAAGTGCAAGAAGCAACCTTTCATTAAAGGAATATAGGGCCCTGGCTGGTGTAGCTCAGTGGATTGAGCACGGGCGTGCGAACCAGACAATCGTGGTTCGATTCCCAGTCAGGGAACATGCCTGGGTTGCAGACCAGTTCCCTGCAGGTCAATTCCCAGCAGGGGAACCATACATTGATGTTTCTCTCCCTCTCTCCTTCCCTTCCCCTCTAAATATAGGTGTACCTTCCTTTACTGTGCGCCACAGATGTTATTTTACAAATTGAAGACCCTCTACCAGCAAGAAGATTCTGATTCGCTTTGTTGGGGTGGTCCGGCAGTGCACACACACTATCTCACAGCTAAGCCTGTGTTCGAGGGCAGGTTATCTCCAAATACAATGGACCATGAGTCAGGCCAAAAATCTAAGGGCCATGCGTGCCTGCAGATCTATGCAAGGAGGAATGCTTTCCTTCCAAAAAGGGAGCACACATTATTCAAAGGTATCCAGAGAGCAGACTGCACACACACAAAGGGCTATTTATGCATTGTCCACAGTACATGTAAGCATAACCTGTCAGATATATCATCAGTGTCATTTTTATTTTGTCTCGTAAACCAAAGAAGGCTTGCATTCTTTATGATCCTTACCTGATAGTGACTATCAACAGCAACTGTTGTCATTTTGAATGTCCAGTGTCCTTGGGAGATATTTACTTCAAAGGCCATGATTTAAAGGATGGAAAGTAATCACTGACATACACACCTGGGCTGGAGGAAAAAATATTGAAGATGAGACAATTCCTCTTCAGTTATGAAGAGTTAGTATCACACTGTCGTGTTTATAAACTACCTCCTACACAGAATCAGTAAGGGCCCCTCATTCCCTCGTTGCAAAGTTCACAGCAAAAGCTGTGTCCTCTTTTACAAGTAATGTCACTGCTGCATTACCCATTCAAACTTGACCTATGTATTTGGACATTCCTTTTTATTTCTAACTTCTAGATGCTCTCTATTCCTGCAAAACTCCTTCTGAACCCTTCCAATGTATCACTGTATCACTGATACAATCATATTTCAAATTTTGGAGTGTCAACTGTCATTTTAGGATATAAGTAATACGACTTCTCTCAAACACAAGCTCGGTCTCCCAACTCCAACTCTGCCATCAGTGTCCAAGTGCACAGGGTCACTTACCATGGGCAGGAGAAGATGGTTATCCCAGGATTGTGTGCATACTCTGGTGACATGGGACACAGAGCGCTGTGTGAGCTGGAAAATGGAGGTATGAACTTCCCAAAGGTGTGCCTCCTATCGCACACGCTGCGATTCCATGCTACAGGTTCCTTCTGCACACGCCCTCGTGAAACCTTTGGCATCCTTGCAGCCTCCCTGCAGTGTGTCTGGCACTGCGAGGTGGAGGAGCCCAGGCACGTGTCTCAGCTCCACCACATAACTGCCGCTTGGGCCATGTTTCCTTATGTGTCAAGGTTATTAACTAACACCACTCAACAGAGTAAATGTTAGGAAGCTGAAACAATGATCACAACCATTCTATCATAAGAGTTAAAGAAACTTATTTAAATGAGTTTCTTGGAAGGCTTGACACCTCATCCGTAATAAAGGACACGCAGTGTCACTGTGACCTCAACAAAACCAATAGACAACAAAATGTACAACAGTACCTCACAGTTTAATTGCTCTATGCATTTATTAGCGAATATTAATGCTGCAGAGGGGACAGAAGCTCACAAACACTCTACACAGTTTTCACAAGACACAGTGCAGGCAAAGAGTGACTAAGGACCAACAGTATCCTAGGGTCTTGGTGGGCGCATTCCTGGGGGAGGTGGACCTGGAAAATAAAGAGCAAAATTCCATGAGGTCAAAATGCATGTGACTATCAAGGGCCCAGGCTGGCGCCTCTGGGCACATGGGAACCCACTCACCTCTGATTCCAGGTGGGGGGGGTCTCATCCCTGGAGGAGGCATGCCTATCGGGGTCCCCCGAGCAGGGGGAAGCCCAATCGGTGGTCCCATGGGTGGTCTCATACCAGGTGGAGGAGCCATAATGCCTACAAAAGAAAGAGGCAGAAAGGAAGACCTCAGAGAAAGATGAGGCCTAAACCCAAGATAATATGAAATGGGCCCAGACACCAAGTAGAGAGTTGACCAACTTCCTCTTTGGCCATTCACCAAATAAGTCATCTGCAACTCAAAAAAGTTCAAAGCTTTTTCAGTCAAAGCCAGTTAAGCATCCAAAGTGGGAGCGGATTTAAGCTCCTAGTTAGGTACTGAGGCAGGGCCTTTTTTATAGTATTTTTAGTCATCACTACAAGATGCTACAATGTCCTCACAGACCCACACCTCTAAGAACCAAACTCGTGTGCTTCTTTGTTTACCAGTTCCTTACCTGGAGGGGGGGTTGCCCGTCCCACAGGGGTGGGGGGAGTCCCCCGACCTGGTGGGTACTGAGTGGGGGCTCCAGCTATGCTGGCAGTGGCCGCCACAGCAGCAGCTGCAACGGTGCCTCGTCCCTGTGGAGTCATTACCTGAGAAGGACGGCCAGAGAGACAGACAGCACAGGTAAGGCACATCCTCACATCACTCACACACAGAAAACAAATGGTGGATATCATAGCCTATTAAATAGAAAATGACCATAGTAATTTTGTACATCTCCACTTATTCTCACTTTACAAAAGTCTTGGCACACTAACATTCCCCTTTAAACTGAACATGCCCATTTTAATCTAATGATCATTTTCTCACCTCTGGTTTACCCACATTTCTCTGCATTCACCAACACGCTGCGTCAGTCCCATCCAGGTGGCTCTACCCCCTTCCTATGCCTTTGTCCTCAGTCCCCTGCAGAGCACGTGAGGCTCGCACCACACAGGACAGGCACTTGGGCCTCTTCACCTCCTCACCTGCTGGGAGGGTCCCCCTACCCCTCGGACTGGGCCTGCTAATCCTGCAGGAGCCTGTGGAATCGGAACGCCAGCTGGGACTCCTCTGCCCGCAGCCCTGCCAACCCCGGGCCCTCCTGCAGCTCCTGCCAGTGGTACACGAGCAATGCCGGTCTGAAAGCACAAAAAAGGATGGCTTGAGATCAAATGCTTTGCCAAATTATTGGCCCCCTTCGATTACCTCTGAAACATAGATCCTTCTCACCCTTTCCCACATCATGATCTTATTAGTTCTGAACTCAGAAAAGTATGTGAACAAGCGCGCCGCAGAGGCACCCGCAGGTTCAATGCATCACTCCCACCACTGTGCCACATGTATCTCAAAACCCTGCTGAAAGCAAGTGGCACTCCTCCCTGCCTGGGGAGTGTCCAGCAGAGTTACTCACTGGCACCCTTACTCCCCATGTGTTCCCCCAGCACAGCTGGCAGCAGCTGCCGGGCACACTGCCTTTCACAAGGAGCAGGATCTTGTGCCTCTGCTGTGCTCTCCTGTCCCCTACAGTCATGTTTGCCCTGCTCTGTAACTTCCTTACATCTTTGGGGGGAGGTCCCTCCACTGTCATCGAAACCAAGTTCTCCCCACGCAGCAGCACCAGCCCCAAGACCCGTTTCTCTTCACGCTCTGGCTGCTTTGCATTCTTTGGCCTATAAATCAAAGTGAATCATTAGTATGGAAATTTAGGAAGTATAAGCTCACTGAAGTTATTTATAGGTCATTAAACACCAATTAAGACAATATGCCAAGAAGCTCATATTCACAAAGCTGTTGCAGAACAAAACGAAAAACACACTCGTCAGTAAACTCAAATGATAATATAAAACTGACTGGTAAAGCTCTTTTCCTGTGAAAATTCAAACTGCCAGAATGTCCTCTCAATGTAAGAACTAATTTCTTCGTTATGAACAATCCAAGTGATTTGCCTAAAATACAGCTTTTAAGGCAGGCAATCTGAAACCTCAGTTTTCATGTTAAGATGGGAAATAAAAGTTTTTAAATGTTTTAACTTCATATGCAAGTCTTGAGAGCTGAAACAAGATGGAAACATTAATATACAATGAAAAACACCAAATGGTAAATAATGAACAATTTTGAATAATGAACAGCTGTGTATTATTCCTGGGCTGACACTTTTATTACTTAACCATGGGAAATTCTTGGAAAAAACCCTGATTCCAGGTTAACTGTCAGCAGGAAGAGTACAGGGTGGGGCAAAAATAGGTTTACAGTTATTCATATGGCAAATACAGTCACTAATAATAATACAAGATTAACTTTTTTGCATCCTCCCAACTGTAAACTCGGTTGCTCCACCCTGTGTGCCAGCATGCTATGAGGCTTCTAACATCAATGTAGGTAAACAGTATGCCTCATTTAACTCCAGTAGGTACCACCAGAAAGTACAGATGATGTACCGCACCTATAGTATTACTTAGGTGGCATTATCCTTGCAGCAGTGAGAAGAATGAAGAGAAATTGAGGTGGCCCAGAGCTATGGTCAAATGCCCTTAGTATTTATCCACAGGACAGGTTTTCTATTCTTGTGAGTAAAAAAGGATAATTATTTTAAAAACATTGAAGCATGCACCATCCCCAAGTTTCTGAAGTGCTCTGCCTTGTACAGGAAGGAGTAACAGTAAATAAAAAATGGAATGAAGGACAAAATATACATTGCAGACTCTCCTCAATTTGACTAAGGAAAGCTGATGTTCTCAGTCTCCCTCATCTCCCATTACCCAACCCCAAGGTGGTCTTACTTGATCTTCCTGAACTCATCACAATCACAGAGGATCAAGTTCATATGCTTGTCGAAAGCCTTAAAGGTGCCAATGAAGATCCGGCCATCTTGCAGAATGCACCTCATCCTGTAGTCGATGTGCTGCAGCATTTTGCTGCTCTTGCCCACAGTCTGGAAGGAATAAGAAGAGTCACCAGCTTGTCTTCAGCTACTTCCCAACCTTCCCACCTCCTGTGCCAATCCAGACTGAGTTTCCCCTTCCCCCTCAGGCTGAGGTGCTGCATCTGTATTCACATCCTGTGACCCTTTTGGGAAGACCAAAAAAAAAAAAAGAGGTAAAAATCTAAGATTGTTTCCCTTTCTCAAGAACTGATGTTCATCCCTTTGGGATATCCTTGTTGGGAAAACAACACTGATTAGGATGTTTCTCAGACTGCTTTTCATTGTTCTCATCAAACCCCTCCATTTTCAAACTAGGCTTTTGTCTATCCCAACTGAGGAACAGTCCCCCATCTGCAGAATGTTCCTTACTACAGTGATCACGACCAAAAACTTTTAAGATGGTTTCCCAGCCACTTTATCAATGACAAGACAATTCCCTTCTTCAGGTGCTGGTCTATGCGGTGAGGTAACTTCTCTATCAAGCACCTTCCCTATCACGGTAACTATTTCTAACACCCAATCACCCTATGATCTGTCAAACCATTATGTTGGGCTCATATGGTATTTTCACCCCTCCCCCTAAATACATATCTTACCATGATTGCTGTTTCACCAAATCCAATATCCACGATAAAGTTTCAGGATCCTTAAGACCTAAGGGAAGGCTACAGATAAAGGTATGACGCAGGTTCTGCAACAAACACAATGCAAGCTGGGGCAGAAGCTTCAAACAGTAGGTGGAGCCTGCAGAGGAAAGCATGGTCCAGCTGCACTGCAATCTATTTGGCACGAAAATCACTAACCGACATACTGCGAACCACCCCTTTTCCCATGCACCCCAAGAACTGCGATTTCACGCTTCTCTTACCTCGACTCCCATTTTAGGAACCTCAGTTTCATGAAGTTTTTTCCTTCCTTTCAGTATATCTGATATAACACTGTATTAGTTTCATTAATTTCAGGTGTCCAATTCAGTGGGTTGACATTTCCCATACCTTACTATGTACTCTCCATACTAATTCTGGTAATCGTCTTACTGTGCACTTACCACACTCTTATGTTCCCTTTGACCTTTTTGCCCATCCCTTTTTACATATACCCTTCAAATGTTTCAAAAATAGTCATTTTCCATTCTAAAATGGATCATTTTCTCTTTTTATCCTTATTCATAGTAGTACTTCATTCCTTCTCTGGTCCCAAGTTTATACCGAGTATGTCAACTTCAAAAGTTTGATATCCTTAAGTTTCTCCTTCTGAATTAATCCCTGACTAGAGCAAACTTCTGCTTCTTGGCTGAACCACCTGCTTGCAACTTCAGTGTTCCCATCCCCAACCAATTCCCTTCAAAGTACTTAAGTAGTCTGTCTTTCCCAAGAACCCAAAGTTTTCTCATGTAAGAGTTTAATACTTTCTTTGTTAAAAGGGTTCATGCAATTATGGTATGCGTGTAAGGCTACATGGGCATCTTTCTTGCATGCAGTGTGACAATGTTACCACGTCCCCAATACACTAAAGGTTGCTATTAAGTATGGCAACCAAATCCAGCTGGAACTTGTACAGAGACTCAAGATTATCAATACAAAAGAAAAATTATATTAACTTTTGAATGAGCATTTGGCCTTACACATCTGTTTATGGTAGATACTTAAAGTCAGATGTAAAATGTAATACTTTTAACACTTATTTCACTAAGATACGTGTTTAAAAGAAAATTTCCAAACAGCAAAATAAACTCATTAACACTGAGTCATCAGGATTGAGCTTGGGCCTGAGAACCAAGGGATCACGGTTCCATTCGCAGTCAGTGCACATGCTTGGGTTGCAGGCCAGTTCCCAGCAGGGGACGCACGAGAGGCAATCATACATTGAGATTTATATTTCTCTCCTTCCCCTCAAAGATAAATAAAAAAATGAAGTAAAATATTTAAATAAAAAATACTAAACCGTCAATTTCAAAACATGAAAATTAAATCATTTAAATGGTTGTTATGAACCATAGCATCAGCGAAATAAAGTAAAAACATGTTGAAGACAAGTTTTTCATGTGGAACAAAACTCACACTGTTCAAAAGAGTAACAATGGAATGACAAGTAATTTAGTAAGGGTACTAAGACGTAGAAGGGACATTTCCCTTAACTACCAAAACTTGATTCGTTTAAATTATGGCAACTTGGAGTGCATCAAAACTGGCTAGAAAACAAAATCCCAACCTTGGTTGTCCACATGCAAACCGTCGGCCTCCTGCATGCAGCGTTGGCTGAAGATCACTGTCCATCTGCCCTCAACACTGTCCACACCCCTCTGACATGCAAAGTCCCTCTTCTCCCGTCTACCCTGCTCACATCCTCAGATATACAGGGGTGACATCACGGGTATCCCCGTGTCTTGTAGCCAGTGTTTGTTGAAAATAAAATTATATAATGATCTAGTGAAATCAGCAGACTTAATCCCAACATAAATGCTGTTACTGACGCAACCTCACGAGATTGAACTGAAGGCCCAGGATTTCGATGTTCTCAATTCTGACAGGAATCTCTGTAAGCAGGGTATATGTGTGAATGGTTAACATTTTCACTATTACAACTTTGCATCCATGGCAATTTAGGGTGTTCAGCAATCCATTAAGAACCAGGAAAAACAGAGAATGGGGGTGACTGGAGATTCAAGAATAAAGAATAAAAACGGCTTTCCTTAAGGAAATAGACTTTAAAATTTAAGTTACCTCTCATCCCTAAATTTAGCTCACCATGGTCATGAAATCCATGTATTGTGAAAACACATCACCATGTAAAATGGTCAACTTGACCTCCACAGGAAAGGAGTACAAAATGACTCATGAGAAAAAGGACAAAGGAAGCGATGACATCATTCTGCCTTACTGTATCATGCAGTTCATCTCAGGACCTGTACATCACAGGGCAACTCAATGACCCCAAGTCCCTGGCCCAAACATGCTGGGATCCCTCCCTCACTAAAGTTCTCAAGTTTCTGGAGAGTATATACCTTCAAGTGATTAAACTGCATAAAAAAAGTAAAGCTCTGCCCTAGCTGGTGTAGCTCATTGGATTGTGCATGGGCCTGCGAACCAGACAGCTGCAGTTCGATTCCCAGTTGGGGCACATGCCTGGGTTGCAAGCCGGTTCCCAGTGGGCAATGCATGGGAGGCAGTCATACATTGATATTTCTCTCCTTTTTTCCTTCTCTTCCCCTCTAAAAATAAGATCTTTTTTTAAAAAAGTAAAGCTTAAGTCAGAGAATAACATGGTCAGACTTGGCCAATACATGAGACATCATGGAAAAATGGTTACACATTAGTGCTGAACTGGATCAAGAAGACGACCAGAATCTCCACCAAAAAACACCCTTTAAAAATTGGGAAAAAAAAATAATTGGAGAAAAATACAAGCACATGGAAAATCTTCATCCACAAAGCAATGCCAGTTAAAACTACAAAATTTATGCTTTTGTGGATCAGTTTATTCATCAAAACAACAGTAGTCAAGATACCAAACATGGTTCTGAGTAACTAGCTCACTGGTAATCCTTTACGGCACTCACAGCGCTGTATGATGCTGTTAGAAAACTGTGTAAACAAAACACTTAAGTCACAGTAACATTCACACCCTGCAGCGCAAAATGAATGCGCCCTTACTCTAGTTGTAATGTAGCAAATACATCTTAAAAGTATAAAACATCTTCAACAGCACAACACACTAGCAAAAAATACACAAATATAGGAGAGCAATGTAAATCATGAATGGACTAGCACCTATTCATCATAAATGATAAATTACTAGAACTATGTAATAAAATGAAAATCATTAACACTCATTTAAGTAGAACAGAAAATAACTCGTTTAAAAACAAGATTACAACTACCAAACATTCTCTTATCAACAGAAAATGAGAAAAATTTCAACCTCATACTGTGGTTGAAACATGGGTAAACAGTTTTGGGGTTTTTTTTTTCCACTTTTTTTCTGCTATCACTACCAGGCTTTCAATTTTAATAATAAAAAAATGTCTTTTCAGCCCTGGCTGGTGTAGCTCAGTGGATTGAGTGCGAGCCTGTGAACCAGAGTATCGGGGTTCGATTCCCAGTCAGGGCACATGCCTGGGTTGCAGGCCAGTTCCCAGCAGGGGACGCATAAGAGGCAACCATACATTGGTATTTCTCTCCCACTCTTTCTCCTTCCCTTCCCCTTTCTTGAGAAATAAATATTTTTAAAATGTCTTTCAAAACTACCTATCTCCATGTCTGTGCTGACTTGAACATGACTCTCAGGCACGACCCCTTCCTCAGGACCCCAGCTCTGCCCTGGAATGCTAACCCCTCTGTTGACTGCATCCTGCAGTGTTTACCACCCCTACCAGGCTTCGCCTGGGTGTTCTCATCTTTGCATGTGGTTTTCTAAAGACGGATCAGCTAACTTTCCCTATAAAAGGTAATGTTTTAGGTTTTGTCTTCCACTCAACCTATCACCATATTTTCAATACAGCCATCGACCATATGCAAATTAATGGGCATGACTATGTGCCAGTCAGCTTTTAGTTACGAGATCTGGCAGTGAGTGGTGAGATCTTTACCTCCCCCGCTCTGAAATAATCCTAGCAACTAGTATCATTTACATAAAACTAGCACTTGAGAATAAAAAAATTACTCGGTCCTACTTGCATGAATAGGTACATTTTGAAAACCTATGAATTTACCTAGTACGATTCAAATAACGTTATACTTAGGAACTTATGTGGCCTGTATGAAGGAACCAAAGAAATTTCTGTTAAAAACTTATGAACACTTAGGCTTTAAGAATGTCCTTTTTCTCTTGGAATAAATTTGGGCTATGAACAGATTCCACTGAAATCAATTTCACTCTTATACTCAAGTCTAAGGCAATCACTGAAAAATGCTGGAAAAAAATTGGCAGGGTGGGTTTTTCTTTTTAAAAATTTCTCCTTTTGTTTTCCAACTCAAAATGGTGGCCATAAACAGGACTAGTTAATTTGAGTTCAGAAACATTTAAGAATACACATAAAGGAAATCCAGAAGAAAACTGAGTCATAACCCTTTCCTTTCTGTCTCAGTTTCAAAAGCATATTAACCCCTTTGGATTTAAAAGCAAACCATTAAATCAGAATTTAACTATGAACAGTTTTTTCCTAAAAAATGTAAGCAACACAAAGACAGACTGCAAATAAATCTACAGCACAGTGAAAAATCATCAAGTCTTTATTACGTTGTCAGCTGATTGAAATACAGTGATGAAAACAAAAAGTGAGAAAAGACACACCAAAAAAGGAATAATTAGTAAATAAGCATGTGTAAATATTGAGCTTTTTATTTGCTAATGAATGTAATGGGAACTTGTAATTCAGAGGGCATAAGTTAAAGTAACACAAAAGAAAGTGCTTTTATCTCGCACTCCATTTTTCAAGGCAACAAAGATGAACTAATAAATAATACTTTGTATAAATTTAGAAAAATATATCAAATGTTGGTATTTCTTGATTAGCACGTGTGGACATCTGAGGAAATAACTTTCACGCAATGCAATTGTGTGCTATCCGCAGAAAAAAATAAAGTGTCGTACCAAAGAAAATTCTAAAACATTCATTAGCAGGGTATTTAGCAGCCATTCATAGTGATTTTTCATACCAAGTTGAAATCAATATAAATTAAATATGAAAACTACCTAAAAGGCATGCAGCACAATGAGATGGAATACAAGAAACACGACAAAGGTGTCATTGTAAGAGCACTAAGGTCCCGCCTTTCACTGTTCTAGACTTCCTGTGAAGGGTTTATGGCATGAGGCTTTTAATAAAAAGTCTTTTACCTCCCAAAACCCTATTCTTTAAAGATTTCTGTACTCCTGATCATGGCTGCATCAACTCTAACCTGGGTTTTTGCTTGGAATCAGCTACCTGGGATGTCCCAAGACTGCTTTAACCACCTCTCGGTGTCTCAGCTAGGAAAGCCTGCCTCAGTTCCGCCTGGAAGTCCACCACAGGTACTTGCTGTTGCTGCTGCTGGGAGCGCCGTGGGTACAGCTGACACCTATGGCAAGAGCACAACACAAAAGCATGAAAGGCACTTGCCCGCACCTTTCAGGTAACATTGAAAGCAAGCAGAGACCCTTACATGTAAAGGGCCCAGTTAGGGTTTAAGTGCAGCATCACCTAATACAGACTCTCTAACGGAAGATGGGAGTCTCTTCACACAGGAAACCAAGGGATACTTACCCACCTCGGGGATACTACCAACCAAGCAGAAAACAAAACCTATTTCCTGGGGCTCACAGGAAATAGCCCCAGTAGCCCCACACCCACCGTTTCCTTCCTGATCTCCTCATCTGGAGCAAGTCTAATTAATCCCTAGTGAGGGCTGTGGGCATTTGCTAATGCTGCAACAGAGGTTCCAGGGTGAGTGCTACTCAGGTTTTCAAGCTAAGTTAACCAACCATCTATTAGCAGGAAATTCCAGGGAAAAGACCTCAACACATCCGTATGAGCCAGTAATCTGGCACTGAAGCTCATCGGAGGATAGGAAAGAGATGCTGCTGACAAGATGAGCTTGAAAAAAATAACTTGTTAGCAAGTCTGACCTTGGTGGTAAGTACATACATACACGCATAAAAATATTCTATCGCATTTAAGTTGCAATGAAGTGTTTTCTATTACTTTCTGTAGTTTCTAAATGCTTCTAACACATTAGATAATAAAGAATTAGGCTGGACTTTGTCTATGGTTCCTGGAAAATAAGCTTTAAAGCCATGAATTTTCCAGGCTGGCCAGACAGCTCAGTGGATTAGAGTAGCATCCCTATAGCCAACATAAGGGGTTTAATCCCCATTCATGGCACACAGAAGCAGCACTCAATGAATGTACCAACATCAGTAAGTGAAACAAACTGATGTTTCTTTTTCTGCCTCTCTAAAACAAAAATATCAATAGAATAAAAATGGTTTAAAAAAGAAACCTATGAATTTACTGAATGATGAGAGTGTCTTTGTTATTCATGGCAGCTGCCACACACACAGTTAATGGAAACAAGGTGATGGGAGTGGTCCAGTCCACAAAGAGCAACCAAGAGGTTCTAGGGCTGGGGCTGAGCCCACATTCCTTGGAAGGGACCGGCCTGAAACTGCAGGTCCTCCTATGCAGGGACTATGCTCTTCCCCTATTGAGTCTAAGCCTGCACCTAACCTACTCTAGGAAGGAAGGGTCAGAAATGTGTTACTCCAGCAATCTCAGTTCCAACCCTTTCATTCCTAAATAGAAAACTCTCTGGAACCCACAAGGTTCTGAACACTGTTATGGCCTTCCCTCCTCCCCCTCCATTTTCTTCTTGAAATTCTTATTTCAGTAAACCTCTTGTATTTAGCTGGAAACCCAACTGTAGACTAAGGTTAAGACTGAGAAAACCAGACTCATTTCCTATAGCATTTAGTTTATAAAATGCAAAGTATACATTTAGAAAGACATTTAAAGGGAAGGCATAAGAGATTCACAAAAATTTCCAGCCCCAATTTTTATTTCTCTCAAACTCACAATACATCAGGAAATAGAGAAGACATTACCCAAGCCCAAAGAATAAGAGCTGATTAATTGGGTGTTTTATGTACTGGCAGACAATACACCATCAACTCCAGGGAGTATCAATGAGCTTCTAACTGGTGTTACTCTTGGTCTGTGAGGGTTTTTGTGTACATATTGCTTTGAGTTTGGTTTGATGCCACGTAGGATAAAGGCTCTAAAAAAAAAAACCAGTATGATAGAAACTTTACCCACTAACAAAAATGCTCCCCCATAAGATACCCCCACCCATTCCTCCCACAACAATCTATAAGCCATCTCAAAGCCATTTTCAGAGATTTTGGGAGGGAGATGGCTCTTTTCAAAACTCTGAGGTTGCTGAAGACTATAAGGTAAATGCTAGTACAATGTTAAAAAAAATGACAGGCAAATAGTAAAAAAACCAATTATATAAATAATTCAATTTTGCTTTTTTTTGGAGTGGGATACTAATATTAGTCTTCTGAACTGGTACCTAGGCAATTCCTCAGTAATACTGATTCCTAGTACCTATGGTTTGGGAAAAGATAGGATGAGGATGAAAATGCACACTCAAACTATAATTAGTAAGTATCTCTAAATCCTGAGGATGCTGAGCATGCACACCATTAGGGAGAGTTCTGAGAACATCAACACTGCTTACACATTCCTGTAACTACTCTTAACACTGTTTCCACAATTGAAACCTCTCCTCAGATCCTTCCTCCAAATTAGCACCCTGTATTAATACTACAGACTGTAGTCAAGGAAATGAAGTTATTTCTTCTTCCTGAAACCAACAAAAGGTTTTCCCACACGTGCACAGGAGGCCATACCTAAAACAGCCTGAAACAAGATGTAATGACATCACCTGTTCACACTGACCCTGCATAGTATCAAGGATCTAACAAAATGTAACAAACAGGATGGCATCTTCACTCATCAACAAAAGATCTCCTCCAATGGACCCTCCTACAGTACCTCTCCTACAATAACTATCTCAAGGTATTTGTAGAGATTAGGGGCACTGGCACCTTTTAAAACTCTGAAGTTACAGCCCTGGCTGGTGTGGCTCAGTGGACTGAATGCCCACCTGCAAACTGAAAGGTTGCAGTTTTGATCCCGAGTCAGGGCATGTGCCTGGGTTGTGGGCTGGGTCCCCAATAGGGGGTGCATGAAAAGTAACCACACAGATGTTTCTCTTTCTTCCCCTCTCTAAAAATAAATAAAATACTTAAAAATTGAATAAGTTACAAAAGGCTAGAAAAAAAGACATTATCCTTATGAAAGAAAACAGGCAAATATACTATATTGCAAAGAATAAATTATGTAAAATATTCATAAAAATACTATTTTTGAAATTTCTAAAATAAAAATATAATGAAGAGTACACTAAGGAATGTAAACAAGGTAAACACAGAACAATGGGGCAATCTTTAGTCTCATCAGTAATTTAAAATGTGCAAGTATATATACCCCTACCTCCCTTTCACTATGCCAATTGGACTTGTGTGTTTACTGGCCATTCAAGTCAGACAAAGGAACTATTCTTTTAAAACAAACAAACTGCCCTAGCTGGTGTAGGTCAGTGGATTGAGCGCGGGCCTGCGAACGAGACAATCGCGGTTCGATTCCCAGTCATGGCACATGCCTGGGTTGCAGACCAGTTCCCTGCAGGCCAGTTCCCAGCAGGGGACGCACAAAAGGCAACGATACATTGATGTTTCTCTCCCTCTCTCCTTCCCTTCCCCTCTAAAGATAAATAAATAAAATATTTTTTAAAAGTCTAATTTAAAAAAGTAAATAAAAATAAAACAAACAAACTGGTTGGTTGTTTTGTATTATGTCAGAGGAAACAAGTTGAAAGGAAAAAAATGTGCAAATAAATGTTCTAAGTCTTCATATATGAACAAAAGAATACACAAGTTATGTATTTTCATCATTTAAAAAAAGATTTGAGGAAAACACAAATATTAACAAATTTTTAAATTGACTTCTCTTACCTTCATTGTTTTTAACTGTGAAGAAAAATAATCTAAAAATAAGTATACTTACCAATTATGTTATTACACCATCTAGACACTGCAATTTGTAAAATAAGGGGGATTTATATGCACTGACTTCGAAAGACCAAAGGCACAGTTACACAAAAGTCTCGTATGTAGAAATCTCTAGATGTAAAAACAATCACAAATGCTGCCCCTTTGTGTCTGGGGTGGGGGCATGTGCTGATGCAGGAATGCAGAGAAGTGTGCCAGGGACAGGGGTCAGAGTACCCGAGAATCACCTGGGAATGGACCAGACTGGTGGAAAGTAGATATACTCCCTTGAGTATATGAGTATATATACCTCAAAATTACATTTTAGAGACTTTATGAAAAAAAGCTAGCTACTGTTATGATCTATTAGGATGAAAAAAATTCTTCAATGTATATTCTATATGTATTATTGAAAGTATTCATATGGTGTCAATTAAAATCTCCCTTCAGAAATTCTAAACATTATAGTGTATACGTGAGCGTGTTTCTGGAAAGTATGCAGCCACATCATATGAAAAATATTACACGGAAGATACAAGTTACAAGAAACACTGTAAGCCTCAGACCCCTTTCAAGGTAGGCATCTTGGAACCTTACACAGTTCTCCTAGCATCTCTTCCACTGTTGGAAACACTGAAATCCTGTGTTGGAATAGCCATTTATCTGCCCCATCATATTTTTCTGAATCCCATCGACAATATGAAATTTTTTCCCTTTCAAAGGTGATTTTAGCTTTGGGAAAAAGCCAAAAGATGCACGGTGCCAAATCTGGGCAGTATGGGGGTGAGTCACATGCCTGACTTCATGTTTCACTGAAAAACTCGGTAGAAGTCACGATGCTTGACTGAGCACGTTGTGATTTAGTTGCCAATCACCAGTTGCCCATAGCTGCAGCTGTTTTTGTCATATTCAATCTCTCAACCAATTAAGAACATTGAAGTAGTACCTCTTATTGTTTGGCCTGAAGGAACATACTAATAATGGACAATACCCACCCAATCAAGCACCAGTTAACCTGATCTAGATCTTATTGTGACACTGCCACGCCTTCTTTGAGCGCAAGAACCAAGTGACTTGCGTTAGGATGGCTAGGCCTTTGTTTCCAGATTATGGTCACACACCCACATTCACCTCCAGTTATGACCTTCTTGAGAAAATATGGTTCATTAGTAGCAATGTGAATCAAGTCCTTCTAGTCACTTTGAATCAAGTCACTTTGAACATTCTCAAGTGTTCTGCTTGCTGCAGGCTTTCCAGCAGCTTTCCAGAATGTGGATCCCTTTCAATAGATTCCCGACTATCTCTGAAGTGTGTGCTACTCTTTTTTATGCTGTACTCATGGTATCATCCCCAAAAGCTTTCTGAATCATCCAAAATTTCCAGGCAATGTTCAAGCTTAATGCAAAATGTGGTGCAGGGTTGTTGCTCTACTCAGTCATTTAGAATGTGACAGCCACACAGTACAATGCTCACTGAACTACATATACCACCTCCACTGACTAGTACAGTAGGTCACCACTGTTTACCCATGTCCATTCCATTCCACTCTCCTTGGCTGCCAGGTTACACCGATGTTGTGCAAACAGTTCTCACGTTAACAATGGCTGGGATTTTCTGGACAGACCTTGTTTTTACTACACAAAGGAGAAAATACTTATATATTTCAAATTTTAACTAGATAAAGGTACTAACAAGAAAGTTTAAATATTGCAGAGCAAGCATGTATAAATTAACACCTATTCAATGAACACAGCATTTTATATGCACAGAAACTTATCTAGTAAGCAGTAATATACATGTTAACATAATAAAGCAGACTTTACCATAAGTATGTTGAACACATAATTTTATAAAGATAAAAGCTAAAATTTTACCCATGTGTGTAAAAAAGAAAATACATTTCACCAAAATTTTAGTAGGAATTTGGACAAAATAATTATGGAGAATTTCACTGTTTTTAACGCTACATCTTCTGTATTATGTGGATGCATCCTGGCCCCTCACTGCCCAGGGTACTTTGTCCTAAAGGAGGAAGGACTGCAATCTAAAGTGGTTCTCAACCCACACAGCACTCACTCTTGGTTGCTCAGGGAGGCCGTCCTCCTACGTTTCACCTGGACTTCCACCTCAGGGATGTGCTGTTCTGTGGTCCTTCTTAAAGGTAAGCGGTCCCTAGAGTAGAAAAAGGCATTTGTTTGATACAATTCATCAGTTTATAAAACTACAATTTACTTGAAGGTTATAGTTAGAGCTATATTTGACACAATGGAATTTTTTTATTTTAATCATTCAAGTAGTTTTCTTCTACTCCCATCCCAGCTCACCCCCCTGCCAGTGCTCCCCACCTCCCTCCCATTTCCACCCCTTAGTTTTTGTCTGTGTGTCCTTCATATACCTGTTCCTGTAAACCCTTCTTCCCCTGAAGTTGAATTTTTAAAAACATCCACAATTTAATTAAAACATGGTACAGTGATATTTGTCCATTATTTCTCAATGAAACTAGGAAAAAGGTAAATTAAAATATTACCAAGTCTTTGTCTTCCAGTAACCAGGTTCTAGCCTAACACCACCCCCCCATTAGAAGCTCCTTAACATAAAAAAAATTAGGAGAAAAATATCAGAAAATTAAGCAAAAATAAAATAATGTTTCTGTTTTTATTCACATGTAGCTATAAGTCTATATATAAATATACAGAAGTACCTAAGTACCTGTGGAAAAAATAGCTAAGTTAATTGGAAAAATAATTTTAAAATATTAGGTTTTTTTATATAGTTGAAAAAAAGCATAAAGTTTAAATTATAAAACATCTACTTCAGCAGTCTTCTGTGCAATCGCTTTCTTAGGATTTGCACAAAAAAAGGTGAAAAATAAAATAAATAAAAGGGATGCGCAAGCAAAAAAAAACAAAAAAGAAACAAAGGAAAAGAAAGGAATCCCAGCTGGCGCCATGTTAGGTGGCGCGAACGGCTCACAAAATGGCCGCCCCAGAGGCCAGAGCGGGAGTCTGCCCCCTGAGCCATTCCCGTCAGAAACCCAGAAGCCCCTCGTAAAACTTAACTGTGAAGATGCTAATTCAGACAGGACAGAAAGCAAAGCATTTTACAAAAGTCAAGAAAGGTAGAACTCAGGTTTTAAGTTCTTTATAAAATTCTTGGTAGATTGCGCAAAGTAACCCAGATTGCCAATAACCCCAAATAAATTGTATTATTGCTTAAAAAACTACAATGGTCGAATCAAGCAATATCAAAGATTAAAAAAATCATGTACAATCATGTCTAAATAAGTCTTTAATTTTTTAGAAAATGGTTCCTCCTTACACATGACACCTGTTAAATGTAACCAGATTTTACCATAAGTAAAACAAGTGTTCTTTGCTTCAAAGTACACTATTAAGAAAGTGGAAAAAACCCCCCAGCAGAATGGAGAAAAATATTTGCAGTTAATAGAACTGATGAAAATCTAGTATCCCACCCTGGCTAGTGTAGCTCAGTGGGGATTGAGCGCGGGCCTGCGAACAAAGAATTGGGGTTCGATTCCCAGTCAGGGCACGTGCCTGGGTTGCAGGCCAGTTCCCAGCAGGGGATGCACAACAGGCAACATTACATTGATATTTCTCTTTCTCCTTCCCTTCCCCTCTAAAGGTCAATAAATAAAATCTTAAAAAAAAACACCAAAAAAAGAGAAAATCTAGTATCCCTAATATGTACTTACAAAGAAACAAAAATTTAAAAAGGGTAAAGGACTCGTACAGACTGCTTTCCAAAAGATGTACAAATTTCCATCAACACAAAAAGATGCTCCAGAGCATAATCACTGGAGAAATGCCAACCAAAACTACAAAATACACCACTTCACACCTCAGGAAGAGGAAATGGAGCAATTGGCAGTGGTAATGTAAACTGAAATGCTGAGTGGGTAGTTAATATTTAACCCACTAACTCCACACCTACTAGATGGAATGATATATAAGAAGTATATACCTGAGTATGAATGTGCCTAGCAGTATTATTCACAACAGCCAAAACATAGAAATATCACTAAGTACATCAACTGACTAATAAATGAAGTGTAGTACTGTATATCCATCCATGTAAAGTCACTCAGCTCTTAGAGGAAGAAAGGACTGTTTCATAGTTTTGAATACAGGGTGGGCAAAAAGTACATGTTCAGTTGTAATACAGATAAATAATAAATAAGAATAAGTTGTTTCAGGTACTCAGAACTGTATCCTACTTTTGCCCACTCCATATACTTCTTAATACATTATATTAGTACAATAAAAATGGGCTATCATGGACCACTGCTAGTCACAGACCAGTGTTATTCAAATAACAGAACACCATTTCCAAAAAAAAACCTTCAGTTCCTTTACCCATTCATATCAGTTGCTCAGTATGCATAGGTCTGCATTCAACTAAGAAAAAAGAACCAGAGTTTCATAAGAAAATCAATTTTAACATACTTTTTAGTTATAATACCTGAGTATTTTCATTTTAAAAATATTGAAATGTGTTCTAAATATATACACATGCATTTGTAATCCTAACTGCATTCACTACTCAGAAACCAACATTTCAGAAAGTTAGTAATTTAAAGGAAAAATTTTTTTCATGTACATAACGTTTCTTTATCACTTCATCAAGAAAACTAATCAGGCAATACACCAAATAGCAAAGTTATAAGATCACACGATGGTTTTCCTAATTGTCTAATATTCTACGAAATAGTTAATATTCCTTACACCCCCCCAAAAAAGTCTTAATATTCAATTACTAAAATATCAAAATTACAAAGAGACCTGGTTGGTGTGGCTCAGTAGATTGTGTCCTGCCCTGTGATTGAGTGAAGTCCCCGGTAGGGGGCAGGCGAGAGGCAACCACATACTGATGTTTCCCTCCCTTTCTCCCTCCCTTCCCCCCTCGCTCTAAAAATAAAAATCTTTTTAAAAATTAAAAAGAAAGACAATGTGAGCTATACCCAGTCTACACATTCTCCCACAAACATGAGAAAATCAGTTTTTCCAAAACAAAGCATGTGGAGTCACCCAAGAGAATCTGGGCCAGCAGCATTCATGAACTAGAAGACAAAGGACCTTCCCCGCCAATCTTACGGATCTGTGAGGGAGGCTCAGCCACACTTACTCAGCTTTCAGTGACAGAATAAAAGATTACTGTAAAAAGGCCTTGATATCCTCAGTAAAATTTGTTAAAAATCTATGCACATTAAGGAAGATGGAAGGGGGGAACATAGTTAAGTGTAATCTATGGGGAAATATTTCTGAAATAAAAACACTGAGGCCACGGAGACCAAGACAATACAGGATAAATCCCGAATTAACTAGGCAGCGCCCGCCTTGAACAAGGTAAAATGGCGGACCCGCTTTTCGCTGGCCTCTGAAAGGCCCAGGGCACACAAGCGACTGCAGAATGCAACTAGGGGAAAAAAAGGTGCAAGTCAAAAGCACGAGAAGATTCCACAGTTCTGCTGTTTTTCAATCTTCTCGCAAAGAAACAATTTCGCAACTAATCTCTCCAAGATCTCGGCTTATTTTTGTTTTAATTACGTTCCCACTGAGCACAGCCATATATTCTGGGTATGATGGATGAGAAAAGAGAAACACTTCCAGATCTTGCAACCCACCTCGCACTAAATCCTTAAAAACTGCACCTCCCCAATCAAAACGGTGGGATACACAACAGAAGTTACTTGGCTAATTATCTTTTCTCAGCAAGTTTTTATAATACCTCCAGCTTCAAAACCAATAGGTCATTAATTTAAAAATCCAATTACGGACAAGTACCAATTCCAGAATCCCACGTACAACCACCGACCTGTAGCCTTCTGTCCACTTTCCTGATTCTCTGCTCCTCTTCTTCGGCCCTCTTCCCAATTTCATAAAACAGAATAAAGGTGATTACCATAAACAAATACCCCAAAATTAAAAAACTAGACCCTCTCAAAGGTAACACCTTTGTGCGATCTCGAAATCTGTAAAGCGCAAATATTTGTAAAAGGATATAAAAAAGCAGTTATCTAAAGAATTACCGAATCCACTCTGAATAGAGAACAATTAGCTTGCTTGTAATACAACCCAAAGAAAACCTACAAAAAATGGAAAAAAGGCCTTTTTCTGAAGAGTCAGAAAAACAAGTTAAAGTCGCTTGTACCAGTGATGGAGGCTGCGTTAGCGCCACTGGACAGCCTTCCCCTTTCCCAGCCTCCTGGCCCCACCTCTCCCCTGGCGGGCCCCATAAGTAGGAGGCGCCCCTGCGCAAAGCCGCGGCCTCACTCCTTCCGCTCTCCCCCAACCACTGTGGGGAGGGGCAGCTGAGTAGCTGCAGCTCAACAAAGGAGGGGCGGAACATGTGACACAGGTGAGGGGGAATAGCTGCTGCCGCCTCCAGGTAGATGCTGTGCACACCCCTCCCCAGCGTGCGCCCCCACTGCAGCGACTGCGCCTGCGCGGCCCGACCCCACGCCCACCACCACTGCAACTTGGAGGGGAGGGGGCGGTGGCCCGAACGGGCCCGCCTCCGCAGGCTGCACTGCACCAGGGGGCGATGGCGGCAAGCATTCTTGCCGCGCAGGGGTGCGTGCTGCCCCTCCCCCACTGCGGCACTGCGAATGGGGGCGGCGGCCCCCTGCCCGCGCCTGCGCACCCCGCATGGCTGCGGCAGCGGCCATCTTGGGAGAGTTGCACAAAGGCTGTGCTAAGACCCGGGCCCGCGTGCGGGCAGCCGGGCAACCAGCCAGCCCGCCCGCCCGCCCGCCCGCCCGCCCGCCCGCCCGCCCCCCACACCTCATATTTCGAAGACGGCAGGAGACTTGCCGCAAGGATGCATCCCAACCCCGGCGCGTACTCGCCACACATTTAGCGAGCGATGCAAGCCCTTTACTTAATCTTGCACCCGAGTACAAAGCAAGGGATGCAAAGGAACAAAAACGTAGGGTGTGAACGTTAGTGCAGCCATCCCTTCAGCCAAGGGTGGGGCACAGAACACCTACAGCATACTAAACCCGACTGCCACTCGTCACAGACGATCGAATATGCCTTTCTTCCAAATGACATCAGCAAATCACAGAATGTGCCCCTGCAGACCCTGCCGCCGCCGCCCTGCCCTCAGGCGCCTCCGCCACCAACGAGGCGAACACCGCACCGAGCCCCCACCGTACTTCCCCACCATCACTGCCACCTGGGTCACACCGCCAGTCACATTCACATTTGCCATGCCATCCCATTCCCTACACCACCACCAGAGCCGTTTCTCTACTTCCCACTCCCACCACAGCCACCACGGTCAACCTTGTGCCATCCGTAAATCTCCACGGTGTCCACCGCAGATCCACAAACCACTGGCGAGGTTACCCGCTCACGACCAATTTCATTGTTAACACCCCATGCTCCGCCCCCTCACACCACCAAGAACGTCCCACCCTATAGCCCCCTCCCCACCAATGCCGATGCCCCCGCCCACCCCGCGCCATACCATTCCGCCTGACGCAGCGAAGCCGTCCGCCATCGCTGTGAACCCCCCCCACGACCATGGCCTCAAGGACAAAGGGCCACCCTGCTAACGACTACATTGGAAGCATCAGGGTGGTGCAGACGGGCCAGAACACCGCATAACGCGGACAGGGCACAGTCTGCACGCCCAGCCAAGCCCCGCGCGTCCTAAGGCGTCCTTTGTGGCTCTCCAGAACAAAGGCTCTGAGGTTCCACACTCCCCTTATACCCAACATGCTCCAGGTTCTGCGACACTGGAGTATCAGTTGTAACCACAACTGTCCCCCAGGCACGGTGAGGGGAGCTGCCCGCACCGCTGACCTGGCCCTCTCCATCGCGCCACTGCCGCTCCTCACACCACGTCAGGCATCGCCGGCGGCCGCTCCAGACTGAGCTGGCCCCCGCAGCCGCAGCGCCAACTAATCACCCCAGTTCTATCTGCGCATGCGTTCCACCCCGCGCCACAGCCGTCTGCGCTTGCGCGGCAAATTGCCGCAGTGCCGCGTTCCTGCCGCAGTGCGGACGCCAGCGCCCTTCTCCACTGGAAAAACTGGCGGGTGGTATCTCCCGGCCCACAGGGCGCTGGTGGCTGGGGATGGGGCTCCAGAGATGACCACCACCCCAGGTTAACAACAGTGTTTCCCTATTTTAATGTGTGTGTAAAATGTTCAGAAAATGATACGTGGTTCCCAAAAAATGCGCGCGGGTACCACTGACCAAACAATCTTTATCCACAATTGGTGGTCATGTCTTGTTACAGGCCGAGCGAAGCTGCTAGTTTGGAAAATTACTCTGACGCAAAACCACAGTCAACGCACAGACACTAGGACGTGAGGCCCTGGCTAGTTGGAAATCTAAAAAGATAGCACGTTGTTCAAATTTGATGAGATTTCCCTCCTTTTCCAAGTTTCTTTTTTTTTTTTGTAAATTGAAAGGTATGCCAAGAATATCAATGTAATTAAACTCTCCGATACAGAACAAATAGGTCATTAAATAGGCAAAATTGGCTATTCATTTCTTGCAGAACAAAAAAACAATGAACTTGAATTCCCATATAAAATGAGATTTTATAATATTTGGATACATTAAAACGTTCCCCCCCCCCATAATCAATGATATTCGGCGGGGGGGGGGGGCGGGGATAGTACTTTAATATAACACTAAAGAACAGCTAATGAAATTATTTTCCTTCCTAAAAAGACCTTCTACATATGGACTCTTTGTTAACTCTAAAGTTTCTGCATAACATGGAAAAAACAAAGCTAGGAAGGGGAAGGTGAGGACTGAATCCTGAAACTCCATCTGCATAGTGCTTTGCATATCCTTACCTTTTTTCAATTGCCCATATCAAAGTACTAAGGTAGAGGTGGATTAATGGTCACTAATGTAGCTTAAATCCTTTCCCCACCCCCCTCTACGTTAGTGCTGTCTGTTCCCAAAGATCTTATACTCAAGCAAGGGTGAAGACATATCAATGCAGACTTCTGTTACAGCAAAATGTTGGAAACTATATAACCTGCCTTGTAGAAGTTGGGTAGGCTAAATAAATTAATGTATAGGGTGGGTGGATGTGGAAGAAGGTATTCGGGTGCAAAAGGTGATGGAAAAAATAAAATAAAAATTAATATATATATCCCTGGCTGGTGTGGCTCAGTGGATTAAGTGCAAGACTGTGAAGCAGAGGGTCGCTGGTTCGATTACCAGTCAGAGCACATGTCTGTGTTGCAGGCCAGGCTCCCTGGTGCAGGGAGTACAAGAGGCAACCACACATTGATGTTTCTCTCCCTGTCTTTCTCCCTCCCTTCCCCTCTGTCTAAAAATAAATAAATAAAATCTTTAAAAAAATGAATGTATACATAAACAATAAAATATAATACAGCTGATGTAAAGATGAAATGTTAGGCTGAACCATGCAAATTATCAATGTTTAACAGTGATTGACTATAAAAAATGCAATTTCTAATAGTTCATCCTTACATATTCGTGGGAAGTACCATAGGAAGGACTTTAGAATATGCCAGCCCCAAAACATGCCTTTGGACTCAGACTTGAGTGATTCGAATTCTAGCTTTAACCCTGGACAGTAATGTCACCTTGGGCGAGTTCACTTTCTGTGTTTTATTTTGTTAATCTATAAAACATGGCAGAATTTTATCTTATTCAATGATTTGACAATGAAATGAGTTAATATATATACTTAGAATAAGGTCTGATACAGACTGACATCTCTAAGGTAGCAGTGGCTCTTAGAATTGTACCAAATATTACAGTTGTGGTTGCACCTGGAAAAGGGACTTTCCAAGGAGTGCAACTTACATACATATTCCTTGTTGCTGACTACAATCCGTACATAATTCTGATTTCCTCAGTTTCATTCCCTTTCCTGTTGCAAATTAACACACATACTGTGTTCAGCAGTCCTGTTTCTTTAGGCTCCTCTTGGTTGAGACAATTTGGGTATTTGGGGGGTTTGTCTTTTACTTTTTACTGTGTTTATACTTTTCTCAGTGATCATTGAATAGTTTCAGGATGACAAAAATAAGTATTATTTTTTATAAGTCTGCTTATTTTTTAAAAGATTTTATTTATTTATCTTTAGAGGGGAAGGGAAGGAGAGAGGGAGAGAAACATCAATGTATGGTTGCCTCTTGTGCATCCCCTGCTGGGAACTGCTCTGCAACCTAGGCATGTGCCCTGACTAGGAATCGAACCTCGATCCCCTGATTTGCAGGCCCACGCTCAATCCACTGAGCTACACCAGCCAGGGCAAAAATAAGTATTATTAAGACAAGAGAAAAGTGTGCTTAATTTTAACTCTAATGTACTGAATTGTCTAATTTCTTGACCCGTCTCTCACCCTTTCCAGCCTGCTCTTTCTGACAATGCTGACCACTCTGCGAATCATTTCCTCGCTCCTCTACTGCAGTGAGAACCTGCCTTAGGTTCCAGAGAAGGCATGAGGGGCTCCTCGAATCTCAGACAACCCAAATGCCATTCTAGCTCATTCATCTATTTAAATTGGATAATTTACATCAGTTTATATGCCAAAACACATCCTACAACTATGAAAGGACTGTACAAGGAAGGAGAACTCAAGAGTCAACTTAGCTGTCAAGACTACACTCATGGAGCCTAATGTGTCTCCCAAAGATTCCATTTTTCCCAAGTCTAGACTTATTTCCAAGTCAAACACACAAGGGTGTAAGTTTAAAGGATATCAAATCTGGGATAAAACTATTGTTTATGCAACTAAAGCCGGAGAATCTCTAAAAACGGATCAGAAATTCTACATCACATCCTAAACAAAAATTAACTCAAAATGGCTCAAAGACCTAAATAAGAGAGATTAAAATATAAATCTCTTAAAAGAAGTCATAGAAATAAATCTGTAAACCTCTGTGACCTTGACTTAAGCACTGGTTTCTTAGATCAGACACCTAAAGCACATGCAACCCAAACAAACAAAAAGGTAAACTGGACTTCACCACAATCACATAAAGGATTTTGCTTCAAAGGACAATA